ACCGGGTGCGAAGTAATATTGCTGTTAATTTAATGGGTGTGGGGAAAATGTCCCTGCCCACCCTAAAAAAAATGATAAATTGAGAATATGCTGGAGAAGTACAGGGATTTCGGGGAGGGGATGTGCTTTGCCCCCTCTAGAAAAAATCCTGGCGACCTCCATGATTGTATTTAGCAAGTGTTTTAAGGTATTAAGCTGGAACAAGGTTGTAAACACGGTGTAAAAAAGATGTAAACAAGGTTTAACAATAAACGGATACAGCAAACTGAAGTACATGTTAAAGCACGTTTTATTCCTCCAAAAAAGTATGAAAATAAAAGAAATCTAGCATTTGTAGTATTTCATGTTTTACCCTGGCAAACAGTAAAAACAACGTAGGGATGTACATTCAATTTCAGACAACAGGTCACTAAGAAGTTCTGTACATAAACGCTGAACGGGAAAATGAAATCCAAGAATGACACCTCTCTTAATTAAGAAAACACATGCAATAGGCGTGTACATGTTTACAGACAATTATGATATGTTCATGATAATAAAATGGACATAAATAACTTGGAACGTGGAAGTAAAATATCAGATGAATCTAGCAACAAACTGGAATACTCGTTCTTCAATCAAACATTATACAGAACTTTTCTTCCAATAATGACAAAAAGTGCAGTTGCGTGAGGGAAGGTTAAAGTGCTTAGAGTTTGAATGATACGCTGTTTTTAAAAGGCCTGCTATATGTTACACATATTTCTTAATAACTGTTTAGAAATGACAAATATATACTTTTTCAAAATGCCATATGGCTTAGAGCAAATAAAACTAAGAGTTATAGATATAACATCTTACAGCTTCAAACTAATCAGCACATGTTCATATTTCTGTATAACAAGACATCGCTGTACATGTACCTTACAAAGTTAAGTACTGTTGGTTAAATAATTCTCTTTAAGTTGGTTCCATAGCCAACCACATATAAACAATGAACCTAAAATGTCTTTTAGTCACCACCCAAACCCACAACCTATTCATTAAATCAAAACTCCCTACACTAAAACCCTTTCACCATGAAAAATGCTTTTAGTTGGTTGCTTAATGCCTGCAAAATAGCTCAAGCATTTCAATCTCGCACCAAATTGCTTTTATGACCTCATAACATATACACATTTAAATAGCATGAACCTCTAAGCATTTGTTCACTTTTAAAGTAAAATTATAATTACACTGTGTGCATCAATTTGTACAGATCAAACCTTAATATTACCAGTACTTGTTTCACGTATCATCTTTGAAAGTGAAGTACTTTAAAATAGATCGACAAAACTTTGTTCTGATGGAGAAAATACTTGTTGACTGAAATCACTTTTCAAACCACTTTGATACAGACACAATCATTATCATTTCTTAAGATAATAGTTTCACTCCAAATCAAGCAGGAACTCTAAAAGGGATCAAAATATCCAATATGACGGACCAAGTTAAGCCTTATCTCCACATCATACAAGTAAAGGTTACAGAAATGAATCCAATTCAACCAATCGTAGAACAACATATCACAGACACTCCTAGATCAACCAAGTTGCAACTCTTGCATTCAACAACAGCCTCGAAAATATAAACACCTCTTCTTTTCCACATGACCACTGTTTTAGAATTTGTAATAAACTCTACGGGCCAGAACAATGTGCTCCACGTGTACAAGTGAAAGGTGCAACACATTACTGTTTCTAAAACAACTGCTTAGCAAAAACAGATATGTTGTCTTTAAATTACATTGCATTATTCGGCATACGAAAACACAAAAAAAGAAACCCGAAACTCAACTGCCTAGTATCTATGTCTTCATAACTTTATAAAAGTACAAATATAAGTTAGCCTAAGCTTAAAAATAATGTTGTTTTTCTTTCAATATGATGTTTGGAAGAAAACCCTGTTTGCGTTATATAGCACCCATTGGCTGAATTTCTATACACAAAACCAAACTAAATGAAAAGGTACGAATCACCTCAAAAACTTTAAAATGGACAGATGCTCATGCAGATGGAGATCACATCAATTTTACAAGCTGATTTTCAATGTTTTGCCTTTTAAGCAGTTAAAAAAAAATTGTGCGAAGGATGTTTGACCATGCATGAGTTGCAGGTGCAGAGCAACAAAAAAATGGGGGGGGGGGGATTCACAACAACTATTTGGAAATGTCCAACTTTTTAAAATGATCTGTGGTATTTTGATACTTAGTTCAAGAAAATGCAGGCTTTACTTCTTAGTACTTTGTGTCTATCTGCCTTTTGTTTTGGCTTATTTTTTTCATTTCATTATTTACATTACTGGACAAGGTTGTTTTCCTTTAATGTCTGATTGTAGTAATAGATGTAGGGGCCAAAAGAAAAGGAAAAGGAACAAATTGATCCTTTTTCAAACAACTGATTTTCTTTCAAATTCCATCTCAGTAACAACAGCAGAGATGTTATTGGGAGGGGTAAAAAAGGACGGGGGGGGGGGGGGGGGGGGCCTGATCATCTCATCTCAATATGGCTGCTTTCTCGTCGTCTTCTAGACCTAGCGATCTTGTGTCATCCTCCATCGTTTCCGAGTCTTCTAGTAAATCTTTTTTCTCTTCCAAGCTGATTTCTGAGCCGGTGCTGTGGCGGTCTGGATACAGCGATCCGTACATTGGGTTGGAGAAATTGGTAGTCTGTGGGAAAATCAAGGACAAAACAAAAAGAAATATATTCCTTAGGATGAAATACATGCGTAGTGCTAACATTAACGCAGAAATTTAACAAAACAAAAATAAATATTGAACACAATAAGCCATCTGTGACCGTTTGTCATGAACACACATGGAATGAAAAAATAAATATATTCTGGTTATGGCAGCTGTGGTGAAAGGTTTAAAGTATCTTAGTTTCAGGGGGAAAAAACCTGGTTACAGAAAATACAATAAGAGAATATTAAAATGGATGCAAGTCAAGTAGTATAAAATAAAATGGTTGCCAACTCTTCACAAAGACAAATATGTATGCGTGCATGTACACTGAACAAAGGCAGTGCAAAAAGAAAGAAAAGTTTTTATTGGGGTCCAATTTTCACTTTAAAAATATCATCAAAAGTACAAGACACTTTACAACAAATTCAACCAGAATATACATGCCAAATGCAGGGAAACGACAATGCAATGGTGTCTCATTCACAATGCAGCCATCTTTAACTGGATCTCAGAAGACTACATGGGAATCAGTATGTAATCTGACAAAAGTGCTGTTACCAGACTATGTTATGCCAGACTATGAAACTCAAGACAAAAGAAGATGGCTGCACATGATGAAGATTAAAGAAACAAATTGTTATACAAAGGAGAAAGTGAAAATGTTAGGGTTACTTTATACACTTTAAAGCAGAGTTGTGATCACGTCAATAACAAAGCAATCACAAGAAAAGTCACAGAGAATTTATGATGAAACTGAGAATTTACAATGACATTATCACAATTTTATCACAATTTGAAGCTTGTCATTCACTTGTGACTGGAAGACATGCAAATTGTGATAATAATCACAACTGTACTTTTTATCGTTTCTGCAAGCGGAGAGATTTTTAGGAGAGGAAGGAAATGGAAATGATTTTGCATGCAAATCAATCAACGGTCTTCAAACACACGAATTCCCAACATCAAAATTTACTTTGATTAGTGGAAGCATTTTTGGTTTGGAACAGCAACGCAGAGTGTTAGATGCTTGAGTCCAGCATGATGTCAATGTTGGCGTCAGACAAACGCCGGTAGGACGGCCTGAAACCTTTGAAAATGTGCTGCAAAAATGAAGGGACGGGAGAAAGGAGTCGGGGGTGGGGGAGGGGAGAGTAAAGCAAGGAGTGAGATGATGTCAGACTTGGTGCAGTTTCTATAAAGCCAGGTGATATTTCTGTGTCGGCACAAAGATGACGGCAAATCTATCTAAGGAGGGGTTGCACCAGAAAGAGAGACATTTTACAGATCGATATTGAGCTCTGCATTTGTGGTATAAACTACAGGCTAGTCTTAGAGTGCATCGACCCTACTTTGACATGTAATTTGCTGCACAAAACTACAGAGTAAGTTTCTAATTGTTCTCCTCACACATTAAGAACTTTTTTTATGACTCTCTGGACAAATGACAGGAATGCATGTAGAATTGAAGACAAAAACTTCCAAATGTTTTCTTTTATGAACAGAGGTTTAAGTAAGCCCTCAATCTTGAAATAAACCAAGATACTACAAATGTATCTTGTTTCATTCTTCAATATTCCCAACGTTTACATCACAGCGTGGATTGGTTTCATGAAAATGCAAGGAGAATTTGCTCACAGGGTTGGTTTGTTTACCGTGCCCCTTTTTAGGCATCCAAACGAGCAGCTGGAATGCAGTCTTGCAATGAAGCTTTCAACTTACTTTCTTTTTGTCTAGAAATGGGATCTGAAATCACTTGAAAATGTTAGCTTAGGGAAAATTTGAAGTAAATAGAAGAATTCAAATTGCAACCCAGGCAGCAAACCATAGCCAAGATGCCCATTGCCCAAGAACAAACAGAGGGTAGACGGGAAAAAAGACTAACAGCAAAAGGCAAGCAAACAGCCTGACATTTGACATGAAAAATAAACACAAAACAGACCACAAAATCTGTTGGGTCAAATTGACACAGAAAATCCACATTTTAAGTAACAGAGAGGGATATTCAGACCAGCAAAACTGAAGTCACGAAAGACTACCAGAGGCAGGGACAAACAAACAAACAAACAAAACCCAATGACCAACAAACAGACGTAAAGATACATGTACACAGAGAGTCAATGCTGTTAACAAACCACCTCAACCATGTTACCCCTTAAAAGTTTTCTGAATGTACCAGTGGTGTACGTTATGGGGGTTTCATGAAGGTTCCTAGGGGTTAGGGCAACAGGTGCAATTGCTATGAGAGTTTAGTAGAACTATGTTGCTGTGGATAGAATAGGGGTATGGGAGACACACATACCTTGCTTCCTTTGACAGTGAATGCCGTATCTACCAGCTCAGGTCCATCATCCTCATTGAGTTGTGGCTCATACATGAATGTTGGGTTGCCGATCTCAATGTTTCCTCCTCCGTCCTGCTTCATGCGATGATGCTTGAAGCTCCCTGTGTGCCTGCAAAGTAGGAGAACAAAATGATTTCGAGTTAAACATGAGTGGGATGTGAATCTCCAATCGACAGAACACCTTATCAATATTCTTCTCTTTGCTGGTATTAATACAAAAGAAAATAAATACAGTAAAAAAGGGGGTACAAGGTTGGAAAAAGCAGTGTGAAAGAATTCACAACCTTGAACAAGTAGGAATTGAACCTAAGACCTTCTGCAGTCAAGTGCAAGCGTCTTAACCACTTGACCACTGAGCTTGGTTGGGTCTCCTGGCCGATTCACATTTGATACAGCAATGCAACTGTTCTGATCATAAGTCCAAAGTGAATAACAAGTGCTTGCTATTATGCTTATACATGTATTCTCCTGCAGTTGAAATGTGAGACCGAGTGCGAGTAACAACGCTAGTATGTTGGAGGCTACCTACCTCCTCTTGTACCATACAAGGAACAGAACCACAGCTACTGCAAGAATGATCAGAACAACCGGAATCACCACTGCTAACGAAACTGCAGACAGACACAGAAAAGAGAAAAACGAGTGGCTATTAAATTTCATGCAAACATGGCGAAGGAGAAGTCATGATGGCTGAAAATGAACAGACAGTTGGGGAAGTCATAACAACATCAATATTTGTATCCAAGGTGAAAATGCTGCGGTAAAATCAATCACAACTCTGGTCACAAGTCCCGTTAAAAGTGAGATATCGTTTCAAAAAATCTAGTCATAAGTAACAGGTTCATTCGAATGTTTGTGACTTGACGTGTGACAGGATGACTTGTGATTGACTTGCGATTGACTTGTGATTGACTTGCGATTGACTTGCGATTGACTTGTGATTGACTTGCGATTGACTTGTGATTGACTTGCGATTGACTTGCGATTGACTTGTGATTGACTTGCGATTGACTTGTGATTGACTTGCGATTGACTTGTGATTGACTTGTGATTGACTTGCGATTGACTTGTGATTGACATGTGATTGACTTGCGATTGACTTGTGATTGACTTGCGATTGACTTGCGATTGACTTGTGATTGACTTGCGATTGACTTGTGATTGACTTGTGATTAACTCAACCACACCACTGCTTAGTAAGGCCCAAGAGAGACCGGACATCTATCTCACCTGGTGGATTCTGTGTATTCTTGTTCTTATCGCCTGGTGACGGTGTAGCCTTGGGGGCTTCGGGCTGTCGATAGAAATAAAAAGCTCAGTTAGAAAAAGTGGGAAATTAAGTAAAGTTTATGTCATTTTGGATTTCAAAATGAAAGTGAAGCACTTTCGGCCGAGCATGGTTCGATTCCAACCTGGTGGACTTTGGGTATTTTTGAGTGCAGTAATTCAATGATGAGTTCTTACAGAAGGTAAAATCAAGTTTGCAATGCTGTATGAAATGTATGAAAGTGAAGAATACTCAGATTTGTTGACTGGGGTTAGGGGTTAGTCTGACTCTTAGCATCTGTCTCCTTCTGTACTCACACACATTGTATCCCGTCTTTCACAAGGTTACATGTAGAGCTAGCTGGATCACACGTATCACATTTATCAATTTCGCATCGGACACCTTCATAGCGTACCGAGCCACAAGTGCACTCTGCACCATCTGATGGAAGAAAGAACCAAAAGAAATATTACACAACCTACAAAACCAACAAAAGTTTGTTTCCCTGATATATATAAACCTGTTCCTGAGTGACATTCAATAGTATCACCAAACCTCATGCGTGCAACTGGGAATTTAGAAAACAAACAAGGAAACATCCAAGTCACACAAGACTTGGTACAGTATATTTCAATTTGCATTGGCATTCTTGAGAAGTAAAAATAAGAAAATCAGCGGATCCGAGGCAAAGTTGGATGCCTGAAACCTAATTATTCCTAAGATCTAAATTAAGATTGGCTTTTGAAATCACTAGCGAATCTTGATTGAAATATCAACTGCTGAAGTCACTGAAATGAGGCCAGAGTCTGGTATTCAACCCAAATCAATCACATACTCAATACTTTTTAAATCTAATCATTCTTAGCGGCATATTTATATCATTTAATGGCAGATGAATTTTTTAATAAAAATCCTTGTAATTTTATTCGATTTATTGCATAAATAGCAATAAACCAAAATAATAATAAGAAAATATGAATTTGCTGGTATTTAGGAATATTGGGGGAAAATTAATAATATGATACAAATTTTATAAATTACCTGAAATCCTGAAACAAAATCCACAAAGATTAACCTGTGTCATTCCCAATACTTTTTGGATCAGCGGACCCAATGATACATTTCTTGTACTTTAATTTATACAGGTACTTTAAGACAGCACATGTACATCTCAGAACGACTCACACAGTGATTAACGAACTCAATACATTTATTGTTGTATGGTATCATCTCTAAAAAGCTTTGCTGCTCGCATTTTATCAGGAAAAAAAAATGAGAAGACACGAGTCAATCATACCTTGTTGTTTTCGGCAGATGGCCCCGTTCAGACATTTCAGAGTATCACATGGGTCTTGTTCAATGTCACACTTTAGTCCTTCGAAGCCTCGTGGGCATGTGCAATGGGCTGTCCTACCCTCTCCGGAACCAGAGATAAGACAGGTTCCTCCGTTTAAGCAATAACCAGCACACAGGTCAGTCTCACATGTTGGACCGGTGTACTGACTTTGACACCTAGCAGAAAGGACAGAATGTTTGTGTTAATTGAAAACATGAAAATGTAGCGTCTGAACACTATAACCGGAGAAAAGAGTTGCACAGCACACAATTTGCCAAATGCTTAGCCAAGACACTAGGCTTTGTGCACATTTAAAATAAAATAAGTTATGTACTATACACAAGCAAAACAGTATGCGCATGCAGTGTGTTCCATTCAAGTCCTCACAAGTCCTCACAAGTCCTCACAAGTCCAACACAAGTCAATCACATGTCAATCACAAGTCAATCACAAGCCCATCACATGTCAATCACAAGTCCATCACATGTCAATCACAAGCCCATCACAAGTCAATCACAAGTCCATCACATGTCAATCACAAGTCAATCACAAGCCCATCACATGTCAATCACATGTCCATCACATGTCAATCACATGTCCATCACAAGTCCATCACAAGTCCATCACAAGTATTTGATGGAAACTTGAGGATAATATCAAAAAACAATGTAAATAATCAACTCAAATTATCTTTAGCAAAAGGCTGCATGTCCATTCATGTGTTGACATTCTTCTTTGGTGGTTTCAGGTATTTAACAAAAAATCACAACCATTGGAAAAACTGCTAACGCGATGGCAGCAAAGTCGCCCCCTTTATTGTGTTTCTTGTCAGGAGCAATAGACTACAATAACGTTTGTTACTAACCAACTAACTAACGGAGAGACATCACGATTTGTTGAGCCGCTACCCGCAGCTAAAAAGTCATTATTAAAAGACATTACACACTAACGACTTCACATCCTATTTCGTTGCCCATCTATGTGCAAGTGTATGTTAACAATTGTCAGAATTTGCTGATAGAAACTTCAAGCGACTGCAGTTGCAATGCATGAGTGCACTTACTTGCATTTGAAGCGGGAAGGTCCTAGCACCAAACACGTCCCTCCATGTAGACACTGTACATCTGCACATGGTGCTGTTCAAATATAACATGGATCAAGTTATCAGAAATAATTAGTTTGCACAAATACAAACCTACTGCCAAATAAACAAACAAACAAAAACAAAAAACCACATATTGATTGGTTGGCTGACTGAATGAATTACTTGTTGTGCACAACGTGCATAGAGCTCTGAAAACCTCTTCACAGTAATTGTGTAACTAAATTTCAAAAACATGCTATTTGTCATAAAAAAATTGAAACAACTATTTGAGACAATTTCAGTCACTCTAAATATATTTTGGTAAAGCACGTTGGACACAAAACGAGGGTGCTATTTGTTTTGGGTACACTCTTATACATTTAACCAAATTCACCCAAACCAAAAAGCACCCATTTTTGTGTCCGCCAAGTCGCTGGATCTGAACTGTTAAGCTCCGACAAAGTGGCTAACCAAATCCCATCAGAGTTGAATTTCCTCATGAATATCTCAACGAGGCTCAGGAACCACTTACTTGATCCGTCAGATGGAACACAGCCACCCCCTGTCGGTGAGGATTCGAACCCATTCCTGCATCGACACACGTAGTTACTGGGAGTCAGAAGACAAAGCTGCATGTCCTGACAAGGGTTGGAACTACACGGATTCCTCAGGCCTAACAAATACAAACAAACAAAGAATGAAAGAATGATATTGTCTGAGGTCTGCTATCCTTCATCCTGCATATCCTGACAAGGGTTGGGACTACACAGATCCCTCAGGCCTAACAAAAACAAATAAACAAAGAATGAAAGAAAGATACTGTCTGAGGTCTGCTTGGGAATTATTCGGACAAAGATGGGCAAAATTAAGTATTACCTGAATATTCTGACATTCTCATTACTACTAGTAGAGACAATTGCGCTGGTAAGCTGGACATTATGCATTTAAATAAGCTTTACAATTTTTGTTCTCACAAGCTTAAGAAAATCATTGAGTCTACAGTGCTTAAATTTAGTTGGTGAAAAGCAAATATTGAAATTTGATACTAAAATTATAAAAATAAATTTATTAATAGCTGTGCATATCCTAACTGCAAGACCAAAATTACTGAATCAAAATGTAAAAAGAAGATATCAGTATCAATAATTGATATTGGACATAAAGAATTACACCCCTAGCAATGAACAAAAAACCCATCATGGGCACAATCTTACCCTGTGCTTGTTTATATTGCTGTACAATGACCACACCAGAGGATCTGGCTAAGCCTTCAGCCACAACGGTCAAATTGCCGTTGGGAATGTCCCTCCTGCCAAACTTGTTCACTCGGAAGATCTTATTGGCCGGCCTAGTAGTGCCGTAAATCCAGTCCTGAAAGACGTCTATGGCAAACGGATTGCCTTCAACTGTAGGTCAAGGGGTACGAAAACCATGAATCAAACAAATGAATACATATTCTAAAATCCATGTAAATTGAGATTTATAATCTGCTTGTTAAATTGAAAAAAAAAAGTTACACTTTTTCTGATTTATAGAAATGGTTGGTGAGATTTTCCTGTTATATTTAATTCCATAAATGTTTACTCGCTGCAGCAGAATCACAAAGAAATTTGGCCAATTTGTAAGTTCCTGGTCAAATTCTGATTCACTTTTCAGGTTAGAAATTTTGCAAGCGTCAGTTTACCAAGATGCTATACTACAACGTCATACACAATCTGCATGAATTAAAAGTTTGATTTACCTGGTGAAAACCTGTAGACTAGAGTTCGATCAGCGCCATCTAATGAGACCATCTCAATCCGAGACGCTTTGGAGTCGGCCCAGTATAATTTGTTCTGGACATAATCCAAAGCTAGACCTGTTGGATATATGATTCGCTGTCTGACGATGGACAGTATGTCTGAGCCGTCCATGTTAGCTCTAGCGATGCGTGGCGTCCCGCCAACTTCTGACCAGAACAACTGACTGTTGAAGGGACAGGAGAAAAAAAAAGGAACAGTAGAGAAAAATACTACAGATACTTGAATACCGTTAATGTCAGTTTGCTTTACTTGCAAAAATGTGTCAGATTTTAAATTCTTTGTTTTAAAATGTATCCCAACACCCTAAATTTTTCCAAAATGTTTGCTTCAGCCACTTGAGTATTTACTCAATACTTGGCAGGTTGAATGTTGTCATTCTTATTCAATCTGAAAGCCTAAATGTTCTGAACTTGCGGCATGGTCACTTGACTGCATCAATGGCTTCAAGCCTCTTTGTAAAACATTATGAATGATTTAAGTTCTTAAAATTGAGAATGAGCGATTAAATCCCTACAGTTTCAAACGTCAAACTTTTCATGAACATAATTCACATCTTCAAAATACTTTGATTTGACGCAAATCTTTGAGAGCCAGTCCGTGAAACGGGTGTAGCCTAAACTCACCCATGCTCGGGATCTACCACAATGGCGAAGGGTTGCCTCAAACCATATGAGATCAGCGTCAGCTTGTCACCGCTCACTATATCAGCCACCCTAATAGCTGTGTCTGTCCAAAAGATTTTAGACGAGACCCAGTCGACGGCAATGTCATGTGGAGATGATAAGTTGCGGATCTGTGTGGGACAAAAACAATATTGCACTGAAACACAAAGATTCAAAAGTACAAGTGCAGATTTTCACTAACTGTTAATGACCGTTTTACATGATGCACGACAATGCTTGTACATGGTCACAGAGAGTTGGTGATATGAAATCGACGGTAACATAAAACTACTATGTCCAATTGGAAAAAGAAATGTACTCTTATGCGTGAATAAATATCTTCAGTAACGCATTTGGGTGGGCTAGGCTATTTCCCAGATTACTTCACTACGGCTGCAATTGTAAATGCACCCATGGCTGAATTTGCTGCTAACCCTTGTCGAGTAAGTTGAATGCAGCCTAATAATGGGTTAATAATTAAATTCAGCCCAAAACAAAGTGAAATAGTACAGTATACGTACGATTGCTTGAACAGGCGTACTTCTGCGTGTGCGTCGGTTGGACTCTAAATTCCTGCGACTGATTGTACCGCCCTCAATGTCCAACATGAAGATGGTCTGCGTATCTTGCTTGAAGTCCACGGCATCGATCCGCACTCCTTCACTGCTGGAGTATTCAAAGGACACGTTCTTGTGGTGTGGGTTGTAGCGCTGTAGCTGACCGTTGCCGGGAATCAGCAGGAAATCTGGGGGACCTGTTATGAGGGGAGAGACGCAATGGTAGTAAGACAGAGGTGCAAACTACATAACATGTATCCAGTGCGACATGTAGCCAAGTACATCACAAGTCCATTCACGAGTCATTTTGTCCCAGGTGATCCAGTCCCAAGTCAAGTCAGAAAGTTACTCAAAAGATAATTAACCCTAACCCTCCAGGGCTCATTTGAATCATGTAGAATCTCACTGAATGAAGCATGGATAGTTTTCTCAGAGGCATTCCTTTGTAATTGTACTTTTTATGAGGTATAACCAATTATTGCCAATTGATCCCGCAAGCTCGGTGGTTGAGTGGTAAGACATCTGCACTTGAAAGCAGAAGGTCGTGGGTTCGAGTCCCACCCGAGTGATTTTTTCCAACTTTCACTCGGGAGGTAACATACTGAGTGTACAGTGTTTTACGTCTGTGAAGTGCAAAACCTAACATTGATTTACATCACCCCGACGCGAATTCCATCTTATGAATAGTTTAGTATTTGTATTTGGACTTACCGTTTGCCTTGCAGGTGACATGATGCCCATTCCTTCTCTCCTCTATGTAGTTAGCCTGACAGCTGCAGATGAAGCTGCCTTGTAGGTTCTCACAAATCTGTGAGCACACACCGACCTCCTCGCATTCATTGATATCTGATGGAAAAAAAGGACAGACTTAAGCAAGTTTCACACCTTTAAAAGGTGAGGCACTCAAATCTCATGACTAAAGACTGGACGCTCAAATCTTTAAAGTTTAAATTCAGGTTTTAAACACCAAATGCTTAAAATTTTGAAACAAAATAATAAGAGCATTTATAATGCGCCAAATCCATCTGGATTAGATGCTCAAGGTGCAGATGTCGTACACGAACCAGTAAAGCCGAGAAAAATAAATTATAGACAAACAGGGCTGGTAAAATAGTCAGAAATTTGCAAAGGGTTTTAAAGTAAATGTTTTTGAGAAACTGCATGCATGTTCAAATGATCTGCAGCACACACTTTTAGGGGAAGCAAGATGGCCGACATGTGGCTTCAGCTGCATCAAAGACAATACGGCAATCAGTGTGTAGCCACCAGTCTAGTTAGTACCAAGGTCAGCATTGACGATCAAGCCATGTCCGAATTACTTGGCTATGGCTTGCACACACTTTTAGGGGAAGCAAGATGGCCGACATGTGGCTTCAGTGGCATTAAAGACAATACGGCAATCAGTGTGTAGCCGCCAGTCTAGTTAGTACCAAGGTCAGCATTGACGATCAAGCCATGTCCGAATTACTTGGCTATGGCTTGCACACACTTTTAGGGGAAGCAAGATGGCCGACATGTGGCTTCAGTGGCATCAAAGACAATACGGCAATCAGTGTGTATACGCCAGTCTAGTTAGTACCAAGGTCAGCATTGACGATCAAGCCATGTCCGAATTACTTGGCTATGGCTTGCACACACTTTTAGGGGAAGCAAGATGGCCGACATGTGGCTTCAGTGGCATCAAAGACAATACGGCAATCAGTGTGTAGCCGCCAGTCTAGTTAGTACCAAGGTCAGCATGGACAATCAAGCCATGTCTGAATTACTTGGCTATGGCTTGCAATACCACATGCGTCTATGAAAGCCACTAAAGCCACTTCCCATACACTCATGCATTAATGTGAGCCATAACTTGGATGCAGCATCATGAAGGAAGTGGGGTGCACTCACCGAGGCATGACCTTCCATTGTCTTGTAGCTGGTACCCATCACGACAGCTGCAGTAATAACTGGTTCCCTGTCTGTCGTTGCAGTGGTGCTCGCATCCATGTATACCGACAGAGCAGTTGCCTCCTGTGACCAATCACAACATGATAAATGAACAGAGTCCTTTCCAAGAGCTTGCCAGAAAAATAACAAAAATTGACATCAAAATTACCCGGAGTTTACGGAGCTTATAAAATTACATCAGTGAACGACAATAGCCCAATAATAAACTTTACATCTCAATTATTTTCCTGACATTGCATCCTACAAGACATGCCCTTAGATCCCACACAAGACTGTTCTTAGAAATCGATGACATTTGAAATTATAAAACACAAATGATTTTTAGATTACTCAGACAAAAACAAGATAAGTTCATACACAAAAACTGCTTTATCATGCACTCAAGTACATGTAACAATTGTTGTTATATTTCAAAAAGGTAAGAACGTTTACCACAAATGGAGCTAAGTTTCATACACCTCTTTCTTATGCCCTTGAAAAAAAAAAACCGAAGCAAAAAAAGAATGCAAAGCAACAAAAGTGAGATTTGATGAGTATGGCTTGTCTCGTGCTCAGCAGCTTTTTGCTTATTGAGTTCACTTGGAAGACTCACCTTTGATGCATGCAACCTCATCAGACAGATCTCCACAATCGTTGACCAGGTCACAGAATCTGTGGTAAGGAACGCACCTGCCGTTACGGCACTTGAACTCATCACTTTGGCACTCAGGTGGCTCTGTGGTACCTGAAACGAATTATCACAGACTCACTTCATTATTTGTTTGTTCTGGTCTTGAAATCAATGACTTCTCAAAACTTTCACCCTCCTATGGAAACATACACTTAGTGCAAAGATGTCCTTTCAGTCAAAATCAATCAAGTGACTGTTTTAACAGTTAAGAGCTCCCAGCCTACATAAAGCAGGATTGACTGGCTGTGACTGTTTATGTCAATTGATACAGCTATGTTTGACTGTAGGTGATTGACAAGCCAGCTGTGCCTACCCTGTGCCTGCTTTTGTCTGTTGACTGAATTTGACTAGTCACAGTGCTTGATATAAATATGATCTGACTGTTGGTGACTAGCCTGTGTAAAAGGCATGGCAGGGGAAAGGATTGATATTCTTTGACTGTCTGTGAATGTTCAAAAAGCAGGAGGGTTAAAATAGATTAGTAAAATAACTGTGAATTTTAAACGTTTGTCATAGCTCAGACAGCACGGTGTATACAGCCCATATAAAATTACGAAAAATACTTAACACAATATTACAAAATATGAAAAAATAAAAGATATTGATAATTGATATCGGACTTACAGAATTGCTCATCGCTTCCATCTCCGCAGTGATCCACCCCGTCACATCGCTGCATACTGTGCACACAGATATGGTTTGCACACAAGAATCGATTGGGAGGTAAGCACGGAAGCTCAACTGTAAACACAAAACAAGTTGAAACAATTCATGATAAGAATCAAATTGAAACGTAACACAAAACTGCAGTAGTGTTTTCGAGCCACTCGTATGGAGCTGGTACATATAGGCACGGAAAATATAAGCTTAGTATAAACAGGCTAGCCGAAACACTGGCTTATAGAAGTGGCTGAGTTCACTCCCCATAGAACCATGTGTTACTGTTAGTCATAGCCATGTATTTCAGACTCGGTCCTTCTTACCACACATGGCTATGTCTTCATCTGAGTTGTCACCGCAATCATCCTCTCCATCACATCGCCATCGCCGTGAGACGCACTGTGTGTTATCACACTTGAATTCATCCTCTGCACACTGTCTGCTACCTGAAATGCAGCCACCAGGATATTCCCATCATCATTTATAAACCTACTTTTATAGTAACAAACTTATAAATTGAGCCACAATTTGAGCAACTGTTACAAAAATCCCTCTCTAATCACAGTCCTTCCAGTTGATCGCATTGATAAAGATAAACTTTGCCAAGTGATAACAATTTATGCTCGTTATCAAAATTACTTTAGAGTACAAACTGCACAAAATTATAGTTCATATTTCAGTGCATATTTATAGTGCACATTATAATACATATCATAATTACTTTCAGAACACCATTTTTTTAAGGAAGTATTGGTAATAATGCTGTGTAACATTTTGTTATTTCACAAACTTTCTGTTGCGATTTTAAACCTCAGTCCCCTTCATTTTTACTTTGAACTTTTCAGGTCATTCAGTTTTAGGCAGAATGTTATTTCATTTAAAACAAGATGAGTGAAGATTTTGTTTTGATGCCTCAGAGTAAGCCACTTACAATTATTCTCGTCTGAGCCGTCGAAGCAATCCCAATTATTGTCACAGACCCAACCGCTCCAGATGCATTGACTACTGTCACATTTGAACTCATTCTCCAAACACTGCGTCGGACCTTGATTGACGGAGAACAAACATTTACGAGTTAAAATAATAACTACTTCCATTAATACATTATTTTTCTGAAAGTAAAAGCTACTAGTTTTTTGGGGGTATTTGGGGTGTTTTTTTTTTACGTCATCTTTAATGAGTAAGCTCCGATCAGTGCAAGGCACTGCTTTCCATGGAGGCCCTCAAGTAAATGAGAGCTACGAGACCCATTATGTAGCACCTTGTAAGGGTTTACAAGGTGCTGCGGTGCATATTGCAGCCACTGCCAGAAACACCGGGGCAAACCCCTTCTCTTAGCGATAAGAGTAACTGGGCTCTTTAAGGAGCATTACACAATGAAGGACGAAGCAATAATGGTAAAGTGCCTTGCTCAAGAGCACAAGCACCATGCTCCCACAGTCAGGATTCGAACCCATGTACCACGGCACACGAGTCAAACACCGTAACCATTGGACCACAGCACCCCACTAGTTGAATAGCTCTTAAGTTCCTCCACTGATCTGACCGTGTGAAGTTATTCTTTTCAAATCAAAAACTGCTACATGCTGCATCAAATGCCTATCCAAAATGAATTTGGTGTGCATAATTTGAAGTAAAAACTACCAAGCAGTGATTCCCTACTTACTGCAACGTTCATCACTTTCGTCAGTCCCATCCACACAGTTTGGTTCACCATTACATACCCAGCCTTGTGGGATACATAAGTTACTGTCGCATCGGAATTGATTCCCACCGCAACTGAAATCTGTGGAAAAAGTGTAGTCATCAAAACAAGAATTCTGTAATGTTGTCAACAATTTCCTTGTGATTTGTTTATGACACAGTATTTAATCTAAGCACTGAAAACAAATTCAGAATTCCCTGCATTCAGGAAGCAAACATTTTAGAAAGTGGTTTTTTTTTTTTGGTTTTAATTTCATTAGCATATACGCAATAAGCATTTCCACAAGAAACCTTCCTCAATCCTACAAAATCTTCCATAAACCTCCAAATATTCCCAGTGACTTACCACAATCACGTTCATCAGATCCGTCCATGCAATCATTGTCAGTGTCGCACACCCAACCTCTTGGGATACAGCGATTGTTGGCACATTGAAAGTTAGTGGGTGGGCACGTTATTTTGCCTTCAAACAAGAAAAACAGAAATAATGAACATAAGAAGAGTTTTAAAATGGGCATTACATATTACCTATACACCAAGAATTGTATTTTAACCCTTATACAATGAAAGTAGTTTTGCAGCACAGCAGACAAACACAACTTTTCCCCATGTTGAGTGCAGTGGAGGATGCATAATCTTAACATAAACTTCAAACGACTTCCTTAAACAAGTGATTTATTAAATCACTATTCAAATTACAAGTTATCACAAGTCAATTACAAGTCAAATCATAAGTTAATGATTGATTTCTGATTGACTCGTGATTGACCAGTGGATAGACTTGTGATTGACGTTTATTTGACGTGTGATAGACTTGTGATTGACGTTTGATTGACTTGTGATTTACCAGTGGATAGACTTGTGATTGACGTTTGATTGACTTGGGATTGACTGGTGGTCTGTGATGATCTGTGATAATCTGTGATGTATGATCACAACTCTGCTTAATGCTTTACATACCACAATCCTCGGGGGTTTCATCGGACCGATCATGGCAGTCATATTCGCCGTCACAGCGCCACTTCTCAGGAACACACTGGGAGTTATTACAAGTGAAATGATTTGCCGGACAGGTACGGATCCCTGTAAATGACAAGACTTGGTAGTGGGTGGACTGCTAATATGTGGCCTGTTCTGTCAAAAGCAGACGCTTCTGGGCAGAGGTTGAAATTGAGATAGGGCCAAAAAACGCTGTGGGGGTGATTTTTGTTCCATTTTCTAATTTTTGCATATTTGTAATCCTGAGCATGTCTAAAATATACTATAAAAGTTTGAAACCCTAATTTGATCTCTAATTATAGTATTTTTGATGATTTGTTAAGGTATATCAGTTAAAGAAATGTCTGTTTTTTGACGTTCGTGTCCATTTTCTCTGTTTTCTACTTTTCGACCCAATGAACTTCAAAATAGCTTAACTCTGCCCAGGAATGACCGGTTTCAAAAATTAAACCACTTATTAAAAGGAAACAGAACATATTTTAACAATATGCAAAAATCTCATTTTTGACCTTATGTCCAGAAAAGTCTGATTTTGACAGAACAGGTCACATATTTAAACATAAAGTATATTCTATGACAGTTATATTTTATTAGAAATAAGATATTGAAAGGGGCAACAAGAGACTTCACATCAAATCTTCACATCTGCTTTTCCTATACCAACAATTCTTCCTGTAACAGATAAATTATATCGGGTACTGGAAAATAAGACAAGGCATCTGACTAAATCCTGACAACTTATAAATAGTACAATAAACATGATTCATCAGAACATCTTAATTAATGATTTAGTAGACTAGGATTTGTGGATCTTATTTGTGATGGTTGAAAACATAGTGTTCAGAAGTTTTCTGCCAAAAATCGCTGGATTTCACTCATCATTTAAATTCGTTGAAAACTTCCAATTCTGTTTTTCTTTTAATTTAACAGCAGCATGAAGTTTGACATAGCAGTTAAATAAACCAACTCTTCAGCAGGGTTCGACTTTAGCGGTAGCCTGCTAGCCAAATGCTAGTCAAACCATTCCTTAAGTAGCCCGGCTGGCGAGTCAAAAATTATTGGGATACAGCAAAGATGACAGGAAGAAATAAATCATAAATTCAGAAACTAAACCTGTATCAATATGTTTCAAATTTTATTAAATGTTTAGTGTTAAATTATTAGCTCTGTTTGTTATAAACACAGACAAGACTGACAGGATACACGTTTTTTATGTATGGACATTGTTGTTTATGAGACACTCTATAAAGAAAAACATGCGGTCTAGTGAAAATGCCCGCGGGCTAGTTAAGAGTCTGTTTCAGTAGCCCTGCTGGCTACTGAAAAAAAGTTAAGGTTGAACCCTGCTTAGGACAGGTAGCTTTTATTTTCAAGCCTATGATCTGATATTTTTTACTCATTGTGGATAAAAAAAAAATTGGTATAGTTTTTTGATTTGGACTTTTCTTACCGCATGACTCTGGTTCGTCACTTTTATCTCCACAGTCATCTTCACCATCACACTGCCAAACCTCCGGGATGCAGTTGCTGTTGTTGCAGGAGAATTGCTGTGGCCGACACGACGGAACCGCTAAATGAAAAAAGAAGAAAAGTTGGCTTAACTCTGCGGAAAGTACCTGGCGGCATTCCTGTTAACTTTGAGGTATGTAACTGGGAAGTTACCCAAAACAAAGAACAAGCTTTACAGGACTCTCGGTAGTGTTTTTCAAAGTTTAATGGCACAGAAGAAAAGTTAAAGACGAGGAAATCAGCTGATCCGAGGAAAAGTTGCATGTGAACATTCTGGTCTTTTCTTATAAATATCAATTAGTATCGATGTTCTTACTTAGCACACGAACATTTTATAAAAGCTGTCCTGAAGTTTTTAACAGTACTGCAAAATAACGGCAATTCAGGAATTTCTTTCTTCTTATGCATTATCAAGTACAAAGGTTGCTGAAATTTAAAAAATGTCTGTACTGCTACATTTACAGATATCAATGTTATGGACATGGCAAGCACAGAAAGTTGCAATTCATAAAAAGAAAATTTGCTTCGCAAACACAGATTTTGTTATGAATATGAATACGTTCAGCAATATATATTTGAATATACGAATTTGGGTCCTGTTTAAACTAGAGAGAATGTTATTTTGGTTGACTTACGACAATTGCGTTCATCTTCACCATTAGGGCAATGAGCAAAGCCGTCACAGTGGAAGGATAGAGGAATACAGCGACTGCTCTCGTTACATTTGAACTGGCTGGCCAGACATGTGTGACGATCTGGATCAAAAGAAGACACAAAGATAGTGTTAATCCTAACCCTACAGGGCATTTTGGCTAGAAACCCTGCTAAATGCAGCAACATGCAAAACGACAAGTCCGCTCACTGTAGCAAGATCCATCAGGTCAAAAGTCTCAAGGCCAAACTGCCTCAGAGTCTGTGGTCACCAACTGCAGCAGGATACAACTATGACATTGTTCAATGGGACTAGCTCTCATTGTTTCAGAATCGGCCGTTTATGCCCTGATGTTGATGGCTCAATGCAGCAAGGTCCAACAGACTTTACACCTGCTGCACTGCGTTGCACCTGGCAGGGGCTGGGGTCAATACTGTAGATTACTGAAGTGTGACATCATTTAGAACCAGGAAGTGTAGTGCAAACGAATGGAGTACGCGCGTGTTGATTCACAGGCTGAATCACGCCCTAATGTCTTTTACACACACTTTGTGCGCGTGATGTATTCACTTTGGTACTCTATAGATTTAATGTTTGTGTCCAAATTAACTATCAACTCTGTGAGAAGTGTGTAATTTCATAAAAGGCCGACATGTAACAAATAAAATCAGAATTTGGTCTCCGGCAAACCCTGTATGTCTTTAAACGTGACACAAAAACTCCACTTTTATGGGAGAACAGGACAAACGTTGAGAAAATCTCTGACACTTCATACAAAATGGTCCAACAACAGAGTCAATCAGGAATGTGTTCTGACTTATAACATTTGTTTCTAATGCTTGTAGTTGTAACAATTGACTCTCACCACAATTGAATTCATCGGAGCCGTCGCTACAATCGTCTTCTCCATCGCAGATGTAGGCAGGATTGATGCAATCTTTGTTCTCTTCTGTGGAGTTAACGCATTGGAACTGACCAACCACACAGTGGAATGGGCCTGTAAGGAACAGATAAATAATAAACTTTCATAACCAAAATGCAAATTAAGTCAAGTCCCCATCGTCTGAACAAGAAAAGAAACAGAAAGGGATAAGAAAAAAAAAAACACCTTAATTTCATCTGAGGATTAACTGCAAAATTGTTCCACCTATCTACCTAACTATCTACCTAACTTTTGCAAAGTTACAGCAAATCCAACTCCATCGTCTTCAAAACATGAATAAAAATCAAGACCTCTCATTCAACAGTTATTGTATTTTAATAACTTTTTTTAACTGAATGAGCTTCAAATCTGAGTACCACACATAAGAGCCATTATGTGAGATAAACAAAAGCTAATTCGCATGCTATAAAGTCTCCCTAAACAAACCAATCTCTACTACTCACGACAATCATCAGGCTCGTCTGAATTGTCCCCACAATCATCCTCCCCATCGCAACGCCACCAGAATGGAATACACTTATCATTATGACAGATGAACTGGCTGGAGGTACAGTTAGACATACAGGTCATCTCGTCTGGGGAGAGGTAGTAGTTGTTGGGACAGGCACAGGTCCGGCCGTTACGGTCGTTGAGTAGACACAGGTTGCTGCAACCGCCGTTGTTGTGTTTGCAGGGATTGAAGACACCTGTGAGTGATTGGTCAAAAGGCGTGAAAACTAACAGGGTATTCGATACAATTGATCAATATTAACAAAGGTTCGGTTTCAAATTTGCAAAGTCGCTTACTTCATGAATGATAAGTAAGCACATCTGTTCACTCCAACAATTTGATTACTCATCCAGGCAGCGATTGTTTATAGTAGTGATTCAGTAATGACTTGCTGTTTTTTTGTGGCACACCTTTGTCTTGGTCTGGATTTTATCAAGTTTCTCTCTACTTACAAAAAATTCACTTTTGACAGTTAATTCTCAGTGTATCCCCGAATGTCTTAGGCTGTGCTTTTCAGTAAAGGCTCAAATCAATGTTGAACTGGAATTACATTTTTGTCAACAATTTGTCATTACCCTGTGGTTGTCTGAGTGGATGCATCACATGGATGTCCATGGGCCGATGGACCGTACTGGCCAGTATGGTCCGATTCAGACCAGTGTACTTGTTAGCCTTGACCACGGTCTTGTTCTCCCAGTCCGTCCAGAGTAGCCAATCCTCAAACAACGAGATGGCAAAGATGTGAGGGATGTTGTCATCAATCACCACTTGCCTGAGGAAGATAGAACATCAAAATTATTTTACTTTGTTTTCGAATCAAATTTTTCATTTGTGCTATCTGCAACAATTTTAATCATGAAATACCCCAATGGCACATACAAATTTCATGTTTAAAAACACAAATTTGTACTTCATCTTTTTAGGGGTAAGAGGCTAATTGCAAAATGTTGCCAATGGATTTTGCACCATTTGGGAAGGCTCCATACGAAAAGTCTAAAATGCTGTCAGAATCACAGAAAGCTATTCAGACTGTCAAGATCAATTGTCACGTTACGTTGGAATGAAGTATTAAATAAAGAAATTCATTTTGAAATCTGTTTACCTGTTGCGACCGTCCCATTCCACAAACTCAATCCTATCGAGGTGGGCGTCTGCCCAGAAGACACGGTCCGTGGTGTAATCGATGGTCAGACCATTAGGCCATCTGAGGTGGTCTTCAACTAGATGAATGGTGGATGTGCCGTCCATACCTAGATTGGAAAGGGGAAGTAGAAATGGTTACACAAGTGCAAGAGTACAAGGGATTGAATCCTGATGAGAAAAGGACGTGTATGTTCTAGGGCAAGACATCTACATTTCTACTACCCGAGCACCAGTGCCGACGACTGTGACCTGTGTGCAGTACACTGCCAAAAAAATTCTAAGGATGACATCTCACTTCACTGCAATCTCATTAAAAGCCACATATTTCATACAATCATTGTTACAAATCAAAATAAGATATGAATTATGATTTTCAAAAATGTTTATTTCTCCCTGAAGTGCCAATGACTACCCCTAAAGTAGACAGCAGAATTTTCAAAAACACACAAAACTGTTCTACTCACTTGCCCGACCGATGTAAGGTTGCTGTCCCCAATCTGTCCAGTAGATTAGTCTGAAAAAATTATCAAAAAAAGTGACAATCATTGGTGCAGGTCTACCTCTTAGGCATAATGGTGGATTCAAATCAATCATTTTGCATCGCCTACTTCCATTATTGACACATGCTGCAGTAAACATCGGTAGCAGTAAACAAGAAATAACTATTTGAACACAGTCTACGGTGTGAAAAAGGGACCTTCCAACTAATGTTTTACAAGCTCGCATGTCCAATCCTCAAATATGTTGTTGCAATGCATGCTTCTCCTAATTTCAGTTTGTGGGCCTCTCAATGCACAGTATTACAAGTCCTAATTTTAGGGACTAGTTAACACCTACCCATTGCGTGGATCGAGTGCTATAGCCCGTGGTTCATCTAACCCTTCTGTGATGAGCGCTCGGCGATAGCGACCATCTAAAGTGGACACTCCGATCTGATCTAAGCCTTTATCACACCAGTACAGATTCCTGCCGATCCAATCCACAGCTAAACCGTCAGGGTTACGTACGCCAAGGTGTAGTACCTTATATTGAAGGAAATATCACAGTTGTTACATGGGTTTTTAATGTTGGGCTTAACCCTTCATTGACATAATTTTAAAAGAACTTGAACTTCCAAGAAAATGCTAAGGTGGGACTCGAACCCACAACGTCCTGCTTACTAGTGCAGACATTTTACCACTGGTGTAAAACTTAATTCAGTTGTATGTTGATATTAGCTCAGTGATCCTGACATTTGAATTGATTTGATTTGATTTGATTTGATTTACATCCAAACATCATAATTATAAAAATGAACAATTGCAATTAACGGAAGAGACAGCAAACGGGTGACAAATGGTGGAGCTTGGCAGAAAGCTGAAGCTTGTACTTGGCCAAGCCCCCGTCAATAATTTATTGAGTTTTATTTTAGCACCCCAAAAAAATTCTCAATCTGAAATAAAGAATTTAAAAAAAAAATGAAACTTAAATTAAATATAATTAAAACTTAAATAATTATGAATTATTACAGAAACAAAAGTAACAATGTTACTATATTGAATCAATGTAACAAATTTCCAACATTTGTAACGAATCAATGTAACAAATTTTTAACAAATCGATGTCACAAATTTGCAACAGATGAATCACTGCCAGAAATTTGCAAACTCTCCCAACATGTCTTTATCCAACATGTCACCTCACCTCGGCCTCCCCGCTACCATTCAGATGCATACGGCTGATAGTGCTGTCCTGATGCGTCACATCCGACCAGTAAATCATCTGATCCTGATTATCAAAGTCTAAGGCCACGGCGTTAGTGAGCTGGGTAGCCTTCAGCTCATAGTTGGCCCCTAAGAGATCCACTGAGCGAATGTAGTAACGATTGGAGAACAAGACTTTGGCCTTGACTTCTAGGGGAGAAAAATAAAACCAGAGATAGTAAACGAAAGACAGTAATGCTTCTCATTTAAAAATTGATTATTCCAGAAAATATTTTGGGATTTAACCAGTTCACGTCAGATGACGTGTATACACCCATTGTGTTGCGGTATTCAGAATGGATGATGGATAAGCACGCAACGAGCAAGACCAGAAATATCCTTCAGCGACCCGCTCGCAGCAAGCGAGGCTGGATATATCAGGGTGTGCCACCCACAGATGACGGCCTGAACCCGTCTGGCATTGAGGTTCTTGAAAAACAATCCCATGCCTGGGTCCAGTCTATAATCCCGGCGTGAACTGGTTAAGTTCTAATTTGCTGCATATTGTCCACTACTTGGCCAAACTTTTGTGAGCATACTAAGCAAAAAATAGTGCTTAGAAAATTTACATGCTAAGCAAGAATTAGCCGATTACCAGTCACAGGTGACATATTGCACGGCATTTAGCCGGTAACCTGGTCTTGCTAAGCATTATTTTCAACACTTAATGAGTTGCCTGGTCTACATTTGGAAATTCTTTACCGTTATCAGTCACTATGCATTTGTTGGCGTTGTTGGGCAACGGTTTATATCCCTCGGAGCAGTAACAGCGATAGGAGCCGGCCGCATTGAGGCATCCTTGAGAACACGGAAGTGTCTCCAGGCATTCGTTGATATCTGTACATTCATGACAGAAAATAATTTTTAAAATAGTGGAAATTAAAATTACGCACTAAAGTTAAGTGGATTTCATTTTTCACTCATAAAGGCATTCTAGATGGTAAGTGATTTTAAGTTTTTAATTGTTTGTGTTAAGTTTAATTTAGGAAAAATCAAGCTGTTCAAAAGTATCGTATGCTTCACGTTTCACGGAGAAGGTAATTGAGTACCTTCACAGGTTGTGCTGTCGTTGAGGAGTCGGAAGCCTGAGTAGCAGGTGCATTTGAAGCCAGTTGGTTCATCACTGCACATGTGATGGCATGGGTTGCCCGTTTGACACTCATTCACACCTTTGAGTTAGAAAACAAATTAGAGATATAGACGGTGAAAGGGACAACAGACAATAAACATGCGAGGTATATGATTCGTTCAATAAGCAGTCACTCAACTCGCAGAGTGTTGTATGCAGGATGAATAAATGAAGCATTTTCCTTGCAGAAACTTACCGCAGTTTCTCTCATCAGATGCATCCTCACAGTCGTCAAAATTGTTACATAGTTTAGTCCGTGAGATGCACTTATTGTTTTCACATCGGAACTGTGAACCGGGCGAGTCTGGGTCACAATCTCCAGGGGGAGGTGCCTCAGTTGCTAAAACGGCAAACAAATCAGGTGTTTATTAAAACAAGGAGTAATGACATCTCCGGTACATCTCTATTACTAGTGCTGTGCAACTTTTAAAATTCACTAGCAGTCGTGTGATAACAAGTTTTGACCACCCAACTCGTCATGACTATCTGCCAAATGTAGTTATCAGGAAATATCTCTGACGAAGCTTTGCCTCACCAGCTTCATTGGGTAGTCGGCTTCAAAGCCTGTCACCAACTTCACAGCTTCACTTACTATTCCTTACGAGTCTTAGGGAGCTTTTGACTTTGGAGTCTTGAGGACTTCATCCTCTATTTCATTACCAGTGAAAGCTTCAAGACACCAATAAAGTTGACAGAAGTATTTGCATCGGGCTGAAGTAAATTGAGGAGGGTTTAGTTTGGAGTGTGTCAGGGTTTTCTAAGTGCAGACTTGTACTTACTACAATTGGCTTCATCTGAATGATCTCGACAGTCAGGGTCCCCATCACACACCCAGGAACTGTGTAGACACTGACCATTGGCACAGGTGAATTGACCTGCTTGACAGGTGGAATACTCTGAAGCAAAAAAAGCCAAGACTAAATGGATTAGGATTCAAAAGGAGACAAATGAAGAGGCCTAACATTCAGCCAACACAAAGCATCACACGTCAAATGACAAGCTAGTCAAACGTGCCATTGTGTTGTAATTGCTCCCCCTTGTTATTCACTAGTGACTTGTGATTGACTTGCGACTGAGTTGTAATTGATTTGTGATTGGCTTGTGACTGGCTAGTGACTTATTGTGTTAAGTCCTGACTGACTTCTGAATGATTTGTGACCGACTTCTGACTGACTTGTAAATGTCTTCAACAATATGAAGTTGGCGCAGAACTTGGAAGAAGGACTTCTGAATGATTTGTGACTGACTTGTGACTGATTTGTGACTGACTTGTGACTGATTTCTGACTACTTTGTGACTGACTTGTGACTGACTTGTAACTGACTTCTGAATGATTTGTGACCGAGTTATGACTGACTTGTGACTGATTTGTGATTGACTTGTAACTGACTTCTGACTGATTTGTGACTGACTTGTGACTGACTTGTAACTGACTTCTGAATGATTTGTGACTGACTTGTGACTGACTTGTAACTGACTTCTGAATGATTTGTGACCGAGTTATGACTGATTTGTGACTGACTTGTGACTGACTTGTGACTTGCTTGCGACTGACTTGTAACTGATTTGTGATTGACTAAATTACAACTAGTCTGAAGTAAGAAAGTACCATGTAGTGATAAGCACTCAGGTCTCACTGGTCCACTTCTACTATTTCTCCATTTTTTATCTGGGAATCAGTGAAGTGCACCAGGGAAGGCAGGTTTAGCATGACGAGAGCACCATTCCTAACGATCAGATAATTTGTTTAAACTCACCGCATGTGTCTGGTTCATCAGAATTGTCCCCACAGTCATTATCCCGATCACAGACCCAGGCCACTTGGATGCAGCGTGTGTTCAAACAAGCATACTCATTAGCCTCACAGCGCGTCACATCTGGTGATGAAAGCAAGAATCAAGTAAACACTAGCATCAGAATGAAACTGATAAAATTCTACTTGGAATGAAACTGACCGTAGTCAGAGCTGAGAACCATTTGATGTCCAAGACATTTGGCACATTGTGGGAGTAAGAGCTGCTGTGATTGAGCTCTACATTCCCTGATCTAGCAAAATCACCCCAAACCTCTTAGTGAATTTTGAAGAATTGGGCAGGGGCGAGTAGGGGTTAAAGAACCAGCAGCAGACGAGAGTCTAGAAGAATTCTAATTTCGGGAGTACTCACTGCATCCTTGGTCAAAATGTTCATCAGCAGCGTCTCCGCAATCGTTATCTCCGTCACAGACCCAGGATCTTGGGATACATCGCTTGGAGGTCTCACAGCGGAACAGATCACCAGCACACGTCGCGTAATCTGCACAAATTGGGGTCAATCCAGTCAGTAAGTGGTCCTCAGATTTTGTTTTTTATATCTCATTTTTGTAACTTCATATTGCTAGAAGATTCAAGGATTGTTCCAAATCCATCCACTGATATCTAATACAATGGTTGTATTGTGGATAAACGCGTCTCCAACTTATTCTGGATATTTAATGAACTGACTCCATCTATCAACCAAGACTTGAACAAACTCTGCATTTCCTCAAGACGCAGAACAAATATCACAAGAGGTTTCTTCAAACAGGACTTACCACATCCCGCCTGCTCATCTGAGTTATCTAAGCAATCATTATCCCCGTCACATTTCCACTTGGTGGGAATACACTGCTTGTTGGCACACTGGAACTGATCAGTACTGCAGGTGTAATCTGTATAAACCACCAACAAAAACATTTAGTTGGAAACTTTTACGAGACAAAAGACAGTCTTGTAAAACATCTAATACTGGCACTAGAGGAAAAAACTTTGACCAAAATCTTTTGCACCAATTAGTATCTTGTTTGTCGGAAAGTTGGTTACGAAAAAAAAAAAAAATTCAGAAAATATGAACCCTGTTAGGGAAATTTTCTCTGCAAATTTTCTAGGATTTTATCAAAATGACTCCTTATCCAATGGTCCGGATTTCAAATTTATCATGGATGACATTTCTTTGTTTGATCTGACAAATTGAATGGCAGACTTACTGCAATTGGCCGGCTCATCAGCTCCGTCACCGCAGTCATCATCACGATCGCACACCCAGGAGTTACGGATGCATTCACCGTTTGGACACTTGAAGAACGACTCGGGACATGTGGGCTGCTCAGTCAAATCTTAGAGGGAGAAAAAAATTTCAATTTGAAATTAAAATTGCAGTTACTTGTTTCCCTCACTGGAACAAAGATTAGAGAAAAACTTATAAAATATGAATTGAGAACTTGAAGTTACTTCAAATTAGGTTTTGCCCTTCACCGACGTTTAAACACTGTATACTCAGTGTGTTACCTCCCGAGTGAAAGTTGGGGGAAAAAAAACTTACTTGCAAAATACTTAGGATTCCATCTCCACCTTATGGAAAACTGATAATGTTATAGGCTGATACTGAAGGTCAAGTTAAAGTGATCTGAAATTGTGTTGCAATTTTCTGCTTTCAGATGTCACTGGCAGTCTACTGAATAAAGTTGAAAAATTTCCAGTAGGAGTGGATTGAAGAAGGGATTGTGTTACCGGGACTGCATCCTAGTTCATCGTCCACTGGGTTACCGCAGTCGTCGATGCCGTCACATTTGTGCACAGGTGGGATGCAGATGGAGGAGAAGTTACACTTGATGAGCACCGTGTCTGGCCTGGCACCGTCGATATTACTACGCCAATCATCACAGGTGACGTCCGCTGCAAAAGACCGCAGGAAAAGACAGATTTAAGTAGAAATAAGCTTAACTCCATAGTCGTTTCTGCTAAGATCCTTCCCAGATTTTCCAAAAGTCCGCCATGCTGCAGGAAAATTATTGGTACAACCTTTGTGCTTAATCATTTAAGCAGCATCAGGAATAGAGGCTGGCTCTTCCTAGCTCTTCCTATCTCAATCCTTCTAAATCCTCCTCCAAAACACCTACAATTTGAATGATCTGGAAGGTTTAGGTCTTAGACATGCTTCATTTATAGCTATAGACCCACATAAACCTACTAGTCCCTTTGTGGTTTACGTGAACAGTTATAGTAAATAGCTGGTTCCTCTCTGAGTGATCCCTGTAGGCTGTTTCCCAGGTTTGCAGCATTGCTAATGTTGCTAGCATCGTGACTTTGGGCATGATTCCTGGCTACATGGCATATACGGTCTATGGCTTCTGACTAGCGCCCCTTGAACAAGACATTGAGAAAATGGGGAACCGCCAACATAGGGCTGGATAGCTCAGTTGGTACAGCACCAGAACGGTAATCCGGAGGTTGCAGGTCCAGCACCTGCTCCAGTCAATTTCTATGTTCAAGTTTAAAGTCCGATAAAAACTTACGACAGAGAATTTCATCTGAGGAGTCTGTACAGTCCCGACGAGCGTCGCACACACTAGTCCTTGGAATGCACTCTCCACTGTTACACATAAACTCATGACGATAACAATCACCTAAAGTGTATCAAAAGAGAAGTTAGGTTTATTTGCATTGTAGGTTTGCGGTGATGTTAAGGTCATTTGACAGGGATGTTGCTCTTCATTATTAGGAGTGTTGCAGTCGAGTCCGTTGCAAGTCCAACACATGTCGAACAAGGGCTGGATAGCTCAGTTGGTAGAGCACCAGAATGGTTATCTGGAGGTCGCAGGTTCAAACACCGCTCCAGTCAATTTCTTTATTCAACTTTTTCAAAAGTAGCAACTCAAGTCACAAGCTATTTAGCTGAAATTTGACGTTATTCCTTTGTTACTGTCCATTCTCTGTCACGTCTGACAGGATTTTAATAACTGTTTGTTAAGTGCTTCCACGATGGCATTATGGCTGTGATTTTATAAAGAACTGAGGAATTATTTTCAAAATAAGTCGTAATTTTTTTTTTCCTTTGCCAACATTTTCTCTTCAAAACATCAAAGTTCAAATTTTCCCTCAGTAGCTACAACCAAAATTTCAAGCAATGGCAAAGATTCCATTCATATCAGATATCAATCATACCACATCGATACTCGTCACTGTTGTCTCCACAATTGTTGTTGAAGTCACAGCGGTGAATGTCGGGAATGCAGCGCCCGTTACGACAACGGAAATAGCCACGCCTACAGTTCCGAGCTTCTGCAAATTCAAAATAAAAACAAAATATTTACACAAAGTTACATCAAGTCCAACTCCCCAAATCAGTTAATTAAAACAAAAAGCGCACTCAACACATTCAGGTTGCCCACAAAGAACAACTTTTTATACTTTAAATTTTTTGTTTATTTATGAATAAAGGTGTGACAAAATTCAACATCAGTTCCTGGTAATAACCATGCAGAATATTCATCTCCTCATTTTCAGATTCAAACTAACAACTTATTGAAAAAAGTCTGCTACCATAATCAAATTTTGTTTTTGTTATTGTGGAAATATATCTGTGTTCAATGTCTAATACATGTATCAGGTATAATACAGTTAATATCCAGGCTATTATGAGTATATATTACAAGCTTTATCATGGCCATTACAGAAATATAACGCAGATACTTCATGGTTTGTATAGAATTATACCCCCGATATGTCAAGGTTATAATGAAAATATATGACAGAATACACAACTCACTGCAGTAGGAGTCTCTTTCATCAGAGTTATCTGGGCATTGCGATCTGCCGTCACAGGTGTCTTCATAATTGATACACTCATTGTTCCCGCAGGTGAACCGATCTCTACCAGGACAGGTTCTATTACTCACTGCATAGAAACAAAAGTGATTGTGCTCGATCAAGCATTGTCAACTACTCACGCTAAAACCAATACTCATGGAAATCAAAGTCACTCTCAAAAATCAAACAAGCTGGATAATAATTGTTGAACTTTAAATGTTTTTGAATGAGACTGTAGGCTAGCCTCGTTAAGTTGAACTCAAAAAGCTTGGCAGCAGTTTAGACCTCAGCCAGTCAGTCGTCAGTAACTCAGCGACTCAGTCAGTCAATCTTTCAGTCAGTGACTCAGTCAGTGAATCAGTCAGTCTGCACGTCAGTCAGGCTGACCACTTTAGGTCCAGCACTACCACATATTGACCGCCAGTTGCCAGAATGATTTATAGAAATATATGGTACAGACCTAAACATCTGTATTTATTGACTAAGACTTCGGTCTCGTCACAGCTGCAGACAACCTGTGCATACTCGTCAGTGGCGCACGTCTTATCACAGCCGCCATTGTACAACTGACATGGCCATTGTGTGCCTGTGGAATAATCGTAGGAAAACAACAAGTCAGAAGTCATTTATTAATAACCCTTCACTTCCCCAAGATCTCATTCCAACTTCCCTAGTTTCCTATCTTTTCTATATCTGTGTTGTCTTGTACAAACAAACTTCTGGTTATCACATAACACACGCTTTCTGCTTGAATGTTTCTGACATGTAGGGCAAGTTACTGGTATGAGGTTACAACGGAACGAAATTGTCTCTGTTTTGTACACCGAATAAGACAGGCCACACAGATGACTAATTATTGCTGCAATTGCATCCGTCACAGGTCCACGCAAGTTAGTTGTAAGTTGATCGCAATTTGGAGTCAAGTCACAAGCTATTCAAATGAATTGAGACAAAAGCATTTCTCTGCTGTTTTTCTTCCTGGTTTTTGTTTTCTTTGCCAACACTTCAGGTGTGTGGGGGTAGCTGTAAAGCAACTTACAGTGCTTGCATTTTTGCCACTCTACCTGGTTCGTTTTGTTTAATAATAATTGTGGACCTACTTGTAACCAGATTTGTGATGGACACAACTACAACGCTGCAATTAATCAACTAACAAAAGATATCTGATAATAAAATGGCAGCAACAGATTAACGTTTTCTCTATGAAAGTCCTTCACAGCCTTCAAAATTGTGCCCCACAGAACTGCAAAGTTCGTTCCTCCCCAGAACTACAATGAAATAACAACAGATGGAAAGATCCTGAAACAAAACAAAAATTGGAAGGAATTACTCACAATCGCTGACATCTTCAGACACAATGACCAGCCCCATGGGTTGCTGTCGTAACTTGCTCTGTAGGACCACGACGTCCCCGCCTGTGTACTTGTTGGCACGGATGACCGATCGCTTGACCCAATCCGTCCAGTAGATGGATTCCCCCAGCACGGCCAAGCCGAAGGGATGGACTGGCTCCAGAGGGAGGATGACCTGTCAAAGGAACAGCCACATGAACACAGAAAAAAAAATTAAATTATATGAGCTTGTCATGAAAGCAACGTTAGAAAAAAAAGATGAACTAGCTCCATACGGTGGATGGTCAGTCAAAGGAACAGCCACATGATCACAGGGGAAAACTTATCTCGACCATTTCTGGACAAGAAAAACCACCAGAATACTGACCACTCCATTACCAGTCACACTACACTGATAACAACTACACGATACAGATAGTCCCACCTTGTACTAGTTGACATGGCATTTACAACCATCTTGAATAGAAAATGTATATTCTGGATATGAAAATTTGTTCAATCTGATCATCACAATTTCCAAAGTAGGGGAAATTAGCTGTGGAAAATAGTAGTGCTTGTGTTCTTTGGCAAGACACAATTGCCTCTCTCCAACAAGGAGTATGAATGGGTAACTGAGTACTAATCTCAAACTACTGTAGCAAACTTGCCTGATGAACGGGAGAAATAAATGTGAAATACTTGGAAACATGTACTATTTCAGCACCATATAAAAAAAAATCACCTAAAATACTTACCACTCGGTTAGTGCCGTCCAAGTTTGTGCGTTCAATCTTATCAAGCCTGGCATCACACCAGAACAGTTTGGACGCTAGGTGATCCACGACGATACCATTAGGCATCTGTATCTCTGTAGTGATGATATCAGTCACGTTGGATCCAGACATGCGAGAGCGGGAGATACGGGGGTGTTCTGTGTTCCAATTGGACCAGTAGAGGTACCTGGTACAAATAAAGGTAACACCTGATATCACTCAGCACACTCAAGCTCAAGATTTGCAGGATTGCATGGGGATGATAGCAATACCATAATGTTTACGGTTGCACCATGTGACAAATCTCTTTAGTAAGTTTCCGAGGTTCTGAAACTGAAGACAGAGCCTACTGTCGGAAATGTTGAGTTTCCTCGGTTCTATTCAGAACATCACAAACTCACAAAAGAGATTTGTTACAAGGTACAACCGCAAATGTTTAATTTATTAACTTATCAGCTAATGGACTCTGTGCACAAGTGTTTGAAAAGAAAGACTTCTCCGGGGCATATTTCAAGCACTCTATATCTTGATAAGTTCAGCCTGAGATTTTGAACAAATGTCAAGGAGAACAGAAGTGCAAAGGGTTCTAAATATCAAGTACTTATTCAGTGATGTACTTCAGCAAATCACGACTAAGGTTACAAATAATTGGGGATGAACGATGACAAATGAATGCCTTTGCTACAGCTCATTTGAATAGCTTGTGACTCGAGACAGGATGGTTTATTGAAGTACTTGCGATCGACTTAAGACTGACTTGTGATTGACTTGTAATGGACTTGTGATTGACTTGTAATGGACTTGTGATTGACTTGTAATGGACTTGTGATTGACTTGTGATTGACTTGTGATTGATTGCAGTAGACTTGTGATTGATTTGTGATTGATTTGTGATTGACTTGTGATTGACTTGTGATTGATTTGTGATTGACTTGAAGACTTGTGATTGACTTGTAACCGAGTTGGGATTGACTTGTGATTGACTTGTGATTGGCTTGCGGTAGATTTGGGATTGACTTGTGATTGACCTGTGATTGGCTTGCGGTAGACTTGTGATTGATTTGTGATTGACTTTTGATTAACTTGTGGACTTGTGATTGTCTTGTAACTGAGTTGTGATAGACTTGTGATTGACTTGTAACTGAGTTGTGATTGATTTGTGATTGACTTGTGATTGGCTAATGACATCTGTGCTCTACAAATACCAAATCCAAGGACTGACCCTCCGCAGGAGTCAATAGCAATCCCTCGTGGATGATCCTCAGCGGTCAATCTAACAAGCAGCTGCGGCTTAGGCTGTGGATCGACCACCCTGATACGAGCGATGGAGGAGTTAGTGTAGCTAGTCCAGTAGATCATGCTAAAGACTGGGTCGTAGGCTATTCCCTCAGCTGAACCTGTGTCTGTAAGAACAGTAACAAATAGACTCTTTGCATTGGACAGTCTACTCTCGGGTAGCCCAGTGGAACAAAGACGCACGTCTCAAAGACAGCTGAGAAGCAAATGATACCTTCAGATACTGGGTTCAATCCCTCTAAGAAAGCTTCTGACTTTTTCTCAAAAGCTCTTAGCAGAAGGGTACAATGTATTACAAATTACTGTGCCTTTTCATGTGCCAGTAAAAGTACTCAGCTATCTATTAAAGTAGTGATTGGGTGAAGAATAAAAAAATTAATTTCTCTGAAGAACTTGGAGGGAAAATAATTCCCTATTGAATACTACACTGACAACTTATATCAAAGAAGACACAGCAGCCACTTTAATCCTAATTTATTTATTCATAAGATTTCCCCCCCCCCCCACTTTTTTGTAATGACAAGACGGCCCCCAATAGAGAAGCCAAATTGGCCACAAAACCTACTCTCAACGATAGTCCGGTGCCCGGACCCATTCAGGAGCATCTCATGGATGCTGCCCTGCTGTATATCTGTGTAGTATAACATCTTTGTCCTGTAGTCCACGGCCAGACCGATGACATTACGGATGAAGCGGTCATCCTTGATGGGATTGATGGGGATGTTGGGGTCCGTGTCGGCATGGAGATTAAGACCTTTAAGAATACTTCCCTGGGAGAACAGAATGTACGCATTGTACTCTGTCGACAAAAAAAAAAATTTACATCACTTTTATTTTTACTTATAACGAATTTGGCAGCTATTTTTAAAAACCAATACAAAATGTTTCCCTGTTTTTTTCCTCCACAAAACTGTCAATAGTTTGGGAATTTCCCTGTAGGAATCCAATAAATCCAATGAAGTATCTAGAGAACAGCAAGCCTTTCCGTGATTTTGGTGACGGTCATCAGCAATCGATACTCACCTTTACATGAATGGCCATCTTCATGCAATATTCCATAAGTACAGTTGCATGTTCTGGTATTGTCTCCAGTGCTAAAACACAGCTGCTCACATCCCCCGTTATCAACTGCACAGGCGCTGGTTCCTGGGAAAAACAAAGAAAAATATTATCATATTTGAACTTGTGTGGCCCATGTTTTTTTTACCCAAGCATCCACTTGGGTGGACGGAGTGAGTGAGGAGTGGAGAAAAGGTGTGTACCAAGAAACAACTATGTCAACTGAGTACAAGATTCAGCACACGTCAAGATATACAAAAATATCTGAAAGATAAACTTTTTTCTGGTTCTGATACCTTACCGAACAAAGTGACTATGTACTTGCCACAAAGGAATTTAAGTGCTGCTACTGAGAACTATTTTATGATGATTCCAGGTTGGCATGGTGATACTTTCCTCGCCTTCCACCGCTGTGACCCGGGTTCGAACCCTGCCTGGGCCAATATGTGGATTGGGTTTTCAGTCCCTACCTGATTCCGTGGGTTTTCCCCCGAATATTCTTCTGATGTTTTCCTCCGACCTCTAAAACTGTAATTTCTTCTTATCGTCTTCTCTTAACAGGTTTCTTCAGGCTTGCGAGCTTCAGTGCCTAGGGCCCTTTTGAGGAATCCTTGGTTTCATTACCAGAAATGATTAATAATAATAATAATAATAATTCCTTACAACCAACCCCTGTAACACAATTACAGACTCCAACTCACCATTTTGCTTGTTCTTGCTGTACACATGTATATCTTTGACAGGTAGTCCCACGTCACTCAGGAGAACTTTGCGTCCTGTACCATCCAACTTTAACGCTCGCTGGATGGAGCCACTTTGGTAAGTCCTGCCAAAGTACCACAGTCAAAATAAAGGTTGTCTTTTTTTCATTTGAGATATTTAACGTTGTAAAAACAACAATTAAGCTAAGATACTGCTGACACAGGATGGATCACTGGTTCAAATTCCACTGATTCTTTGCTCAACTTGACACTGAACATTTCCAATTGATTTTTGAGTCAGGCATTTGAGATATGCCTAAATGGACATGTCCCCTGACTGCTGCCAGTTCTAACCCACTGCCTATCCATTTTAGTCAGGTTTGTTTAAGACATTTCTACATGGACATGTCCCTTGACTACTATCAATTCAAACCCACAATTAATCTATTTTAGTCAGACCAACCTATCAGTCCAGTACATGTAGTCTTCAAACACAGTGATGGCAAACGGATCATAAATCTCCTCATCCAGGACGACCCGTCTGGAGTTCCCGTCAAAGTCCATGGCGAAGATGCGGTCCAGCTTGGCGTCGCACCAATAGAGGGCGCCCTTGCCGTAGTCAATAGTGAGTCCGTTTGGCCAGCCGATGGTTTCACTGACTATGACGGTACGATTGGTGCCGTCCAACCGAGCACGTTCAATCTTTGGAGCAGTTCCCCAGTCAGCCCAGAAAAGATATCTAGGGAACATAAACAGAGAGACATATTTCAATAATAGTCAAGTCTGTCTGAAGCTGATATAAACTTAAGGTGATTGTCTCTTCTTTCTATGGCACAAAAAAGACAACGATTGTTTCTTTTCCCCCCCCCCATGGGATGCCAATCCATTACAGAACTTCAGGTAGCTGTTATTTTAATCCAACTCACGAGCTTTCAAGTATTGGCAATCTTTCAAGCTTTGGTTAAATATAAATGTCTGTTGTGTGTGTGTTTAGGGGGGGGGGGGGGGCAGGGAGGGGCAGGGAGGGGCAGGAAGGGGCAGGAAGGGGATCTCACCACTTACCCCATCTCTGGATGTACAACAATCGCTCTAGGTTTATCCAAATCCTCCGATATCAGAGCATAGCGATAGGTTCCATCGACACGGGCTACTTCAATCAGATCTAGCTGTTGGTCCGTCCAGTACATGTTACCTTTGGAGAAAGAAAATGGACTTAACTTAGACAAGATCAATTTAGATTTCAACCACTGATTGCACTTGTTGTTTGGTTTCTCACCAGCGATCCAATCCACAGCAAGGCCTTCCACTCTGCCCATCCCACTGTTAATGAGAACCTCTCTGGATGTGTGGTCACGATGGATACGACTGATGGCATGAGACGACGTGTCCACCCAGTAGATGAAATTATTCGCTGTTCAAGATTCATAGAAAGGGAGGAACAAGGAAGAGAGTTTCAAATATTTGGCTTCTATTGCTGCCTAGGCATTACTTCACGACAGCCAACTTTCATTTAACAATTCTGCAGTATGTCTGATACATCTGTGTTGTCCTGTCCATTACAAGTCCATCTCAAGTCCTCACAAGTCATCCACTCCACAGCGGAGTCACAAGCTCTCAAAACGATCCTTGACCAAAGTATCCCTGTTCCTTTGGACAAAACTTGTTAACCGACTTGTGAGTTACTTGAGACCGGACTTGTGATGGCCTCGACACAACACTTGAATTCAAATAGGTGAGCAGTATTTGAAGCAGCATTGCCATCAACAATTTGGGAGATCACAATATAGGGTTGAAAAGCTTTGTCAATTTTTTAAATAATCAAAAAACTAAACAATTTTTGTTTAAGTCTAGACTTACCTGCATCAAAGTCAATAGCTACGGCTAGTAGGAGTCCTGATATAGGAATCAGTAGATCGCCCTCGTCTGATGGATCAAGGCCAATGCCGCGGATACTGGTATCAATCGAGTAAATCAGGAACGACTCAACACCTGGGGACATTCAAAGAATCATGAGCCATGTCTGAATTACTCGGCTATGGCTTGGAGTTCTACACATGATTCTATGGAAGCAGTTTAAGCCACTTCACATAGACACGTGTGTTAGCTGTCAGCCATAGTCAAGTATTTTGAATGTGACCACAACATCAATGTTTGATCAAAATAAAGTTTTAAGGATCAAATTGTCAGAAACTTGATTTTTTTTTTTTTAAACACAAAAATAAGGGAAAGGAATTTTTAGGGGGAAAAAATGCTTGGAGATATGAAGAAACATTTTGCGAAATAAAATCAATTTTTTTTAAACTAAAATTACTTTTCAATCCATGCAAAAATAATGCAACTTTGTTGATTAGAATTCGGGGCAAATGGAATTTTTTTGGGTTTTTTTGGTGCGGAAGGGGGGGGGGTTGAAAAGTGTCAAATAAAAAGGAAAGTTTTTGGATCCTACCTTTGCAGCTGATCTTGTCTTGTTCATCCAGTTTGTAACCAGCCGTACATGCACACACTCGCTGTGCGTTGGGTAGCGGGATACACAGCTGACTGCAACCACCACGGTTCTGGGAACAACGGTTACTGGCCTCTGAAAAAGGGCAGCAGATTTGGCAGAAATCATTACAGCTTACAGAATCAAAATGTCTTTGAGTGAGTGCATACATGAAAGAGATCCACATACAACAACTGCTTCCAACGCATTGTGGAGTCACCCATAAATATTCTTTTCTTTGGGGATCACTTCCTTTGGAATGGACGCTAAGCCAGGTCCCATGACCAGGATCAGTGCATGTAAAAACATACCAGGAAACTTTGGAGAATTGGGTACGCCCAGGTTTTTTTGGCTGGCTGCATGAAGTGCCAATACATGGGGAGTCAGGTTGACGTAGCGGTACTTTCCTCGCCTTCCACCGCTGTGACCCGGGTTCGAATCCAGCCTGGGCCAATATGTGGGGTGGGTTTTCAGTCCCTGCCTGATTCTGCGGGTTTTCTCAAGAATATCATTTTGGGGCTTTCCTCCAACCACTAAAACTGTAATTTCCTTCCACATCTTCTACCAAGGGACCCCACTGAAAATAAGTCAAGAGACTTTCATGGGTTATCCCGGCCAATTGCCAATAATTCATAAAAGAATAACGTGGTAATGATGGTCCTTCTCAGTTTTGGTATGGTACTCGGTTCATTGTATTACAACAAACAGTAACTTGGTGAGACACTTTGTAGTACATTATTTGACGTAAGGGAGAAACTTGTCATTAGGAAGACATTTGAGTGTCTTGCTAATGCTTGTACTACCATTTCTAAAATGAATTTTACTGTCAAAGTTTCTTAAACCAGTTCTTAGAATGGTTTAACCGACCATTTTAGGGAGGGGAAAGTATTATCAAATGGGGCAACGTGAGGGATAATATTGGTTTGATTTCTGCACAAGTCTATGGGCATGTCTCCCTACAAGGTACCATTCTATGCAGTTATTATCAAAATGATTATATATGTATTTATCATTGTTCAGTTCATGTGCTTACTTGTCTTGGCAGTAGGATCATAGATAAACATCTCCTTGACTCCTGACAGGTCCCTCCTGAGTATCTGGATGTTGCTTGTGTTGTTCTTGCTAACATACTTGACTACGTTGGACTCTGCCCAGTACACCTAAAGAAATACGACACTTGAATAAACATTGAACAAAACTGACAACTTCCAAATGGGCAAAACATTCAATCTTTGGTGTTCCTTTTAAACTGAACCCTTTCTTACATCACGTTTCATGCAGCTTGTATTCTACTTTACCATGGTCGCTTTTGAGGAATCCTTGGTTTCATTATCGGAAATGAACATCAATCACAACGTTACCTTTTCTTCGGTGACAGTGATAGCAGATGGAACAGCATCATTTCCGAGCTCCAGGAATATCTGTATATCTTCACCCTTGAGTGTACTGGAGTGTATGCCAGACTGATTGCCTCTATCTGTCCAGTAGAGACGGCTGGCCTTGTCATCTAAGGCAAGACCTGAGGAATAAAAATGGATGAACATTTCTGTCAAGTTTCAGGAAACTTATTCCAAATATATCCACATTGTATTGTGACCTGTACAAAAGCCAGCTCGGTATCACAGTGAAGCAGTCCAGGTCAAAGGTCTTTCAGGATAAAATCGTTGACGTCATGTCACTGATGTTACACAAACGCCCATTATGTGATCTCAGGAACTGAATTTGGTTTATATCTTTTAAATAACGGAATTGAAAGAAGGGAGATTTGAAAGAAGAATCTACATTTTAAGATCAGTTAAGATTTGGGTTTCATTACGAACACACACGCTCCAAGAAAGTTGTGAACTCATAATTTCCAAAATAAAAATACCTTCCGAGTTGTTAACCCCATACAAAACACCATAGAGAACACCTCAAATCTTTACTAAAATTGGACGCTATTAAAATCTCAAACGCTGCACTGATTATGTTTCGACTGTTTCACACTGATATTGAACTAATCTGTTATATCATGGACTATGTTAGCTTACCAAGGGGGTCAATCAGAATAGAAGATATCAGCGTTGTTTGGTTGGATCCATCCATGTTAGCTCTCTCAATCGTTGGAAGGTCTCCAGCGTTGATCCAGTACATAGTCCTGCAATAAGCAATTTGAAAAATAGTTTCACTTTACTGTGCCTGTACCATCAGTCAATGTCATTAGGGGACAAAACCTGTTTATTTTGTAATGACGGACCTTTGTTTTTCAACCATCCATACTTCAGTATCCCAGAATAGAACAGTTTTGCTGTAAGCTGACATCATGTGACTACTACATCCAATGTTATTAACAGAGTAGCATGATCAATACTGTTCGGTGGGCCACCTTACTTGTTTCAGAACCCAAGTTATGTAAACAGTTCAAAGTTTAGTGACATTGCCAAAGCAGTATTTTATGCATGTTATTGACATCTATTAGGGCTGTCCATTTCACTGTCGATTCATTTAGTATTGGATTATTCAAAACTGCATTTGACCGAATATTTGAATATTCAAAACTCGGCGGTCAAGTTTACAATGGCCAGTTGCAACTGCATGCGACACCTGTTGGTTAAAATTTGCGTGGGATGATCGATGTTATGGGCCGCAAAAGAGTTTTGCAGTGTCATTGGTATAAACCTGCTAAAAAGATGGGAATTGTGAACCGCCATCGACAAAAAAAAGTTAGTCAAGAAAAGGTGGTATCTGACAATAAAGTGCAGCAACTTTAAGATTAATAAAAATATCTCAGTCCTGTGCTTTTTATTTTTTTTAATATTCGAACCATATCGAATATTAGAATATTCGGAGCAACCCTAAAATCAATGTAGGTAACTTTACGAACAGGAAATCTTCAAGGTAAGCAATGATAGTGTAGAAAAGTATTGATGTTAGTTACCCTTCACTTGGTCTGACGATGACACTCCGAGGGCTGGTAAGATTACGGAGATGAATCTCGTTCCGATAGCTACCGTCCAGACGAGCTATATTCAGACTGCTCTTCTCAGGAGAGATGTTGGTCCAGTACATGTTACGAGACAGCCAGTCTATGGTCAAGCTATAGGAATCAGGTATACCTTGAAAAGAGGGAAAACAATGAAGTTGTTTATTTCTAGTTGAAACCATTTGGGAAGTTAGGATGGAGCAGTGGTACTTTCTCCGTACATCTCTGTGATCCAGGGTTCGAATCCCACACAAGCAATGCTCATATAAAGTAAACTGTGAAGCGTAAAGTTTAGAAACTACAGGTTGACTACCTTCAATGACTGTTTCTATGTTAGTGCCATTGATGTAGGCCCTGTTGATAGACTTGTGTTGCAGATCTGTCCAGTATAATCGTTGTTCCTTCACGTCATGATCCACAGACGAGGCGTTAGCCACACTGGGTATGGTCAGGGGAGGGATCACGTTGTGATAACCGTCGCTCAGATGGACACCGCGAATCTCGGTGGGAACCGAAATGACGAAGAATACATTGTCATCTGTAGAAAAAAACAAGATGCATTAATACACCATAACAAATCATAATTTGTTTTTTTTAAATTAACTTTTAATGAAAATCATCTAGTGTAGACCTTTTTTATAAATGCTCTGCAATTGTGTCCCATTGTCAAGTACAAAATCTCTAAAACTGATAGCTGATCAAGTCTCATTCAATCAAATGTCCTTGAACATAAAGACTCTTCTTTGACTTTTGATCGACTTGTGATTGTCTTGTGATTGCCTTGTGATTAACCTGTTGTTGACTTGTGATTGACTTGTGATCAACTTGCGATTGGTTTATGATTATCCTGAAATTGAGTCGTTATGTCTTGTGACTGACTTGTGACTGGCTTGTGATGGTCTGGTACATGACTTGTGATTGACTTGTGATAGACTTGTGATGGGCTTGTGATGGTCTTGTGATGGGCTTGTGACTGACCTGTAATGGACTAGTGATTGTCTTGTGATGTACTTACCCTGGCAAGTCATATTGTCCTCTCCAAGTTGCATAAGGTGCGGGCACAGACACGCTGACTGGTCTCCATTAAGCAGACACAGATGGGAACAGCCACCATTGTCTGTAGCACAAGGATTATCTTCGTCTAGTACTGTAATGAAAAACAGGAAACAACTTGAAATTAACATGTATCCCTAAGAAGGACTGATTTAGTTCGAAAAACAAACTAATTGTTCGCTTGACCTTCATCAAATATTTGCAGGCATTGACAGAAAAATGCACTTTTCCAATTGGCTGCCATGATTTTTGTAATACAACGGGTTACGGAAGACCCGATAGAAGGCGCCCGCTGAATGGTCAGAATCTGGATGTCAAGGCGCAGTCTTGTTTTGTATAATTAATCGCCGAGTCTACTCGCATATCCTCGACCCTTGCTGTGCAAGGGGATATTCCATAGATTGGATAAAGATGAAGGATTCAGTACCAGGAGGCTGCCTCTGTGGATGGAAGATATGCAAGTCAAATGGCTGAGTCGATGTCTTCTGTACGATAGTCACGTTGGCCCCCGTCCATTTATTAGCTCCGTAGACACCGTTACTTCGCCAGTCTGTCCAGTACACTGTGGATTCAAAGATGGTGACAGCGAAGGGATGGTACATGTGAATATGGCCCTGGAGGATAGTGAAGGGTTGGGTGCCGTCGTATAGGATGGAATGGATGGAATCTGACCTGTTAGACAGCGAGAAAAGAAGAAAAAAACAGGTAAGATTAGACTATAATCTGAACATTGAGGTTTGATGATAAGGTAAGACATGGGTTAGTTTCAAGTAGCATTGGTGCAAACAGAAAATCAGCTCACTCCGAAAAAAATAATGCAGTGGATAGATTCAAAACATAAAGCGAGTAAAAAAAGTGGTAAAATTATATTGAAATCTTAAAAGTCTAGATTTTGTGGATAGGATATGGTACAAGCCAATTTTCAAGGGAACAAAATTACTAAGAAAATAAGTTAACCCACTCAGAAAAAAGCAGAATCACTTAAAATTTGTAGTGGTAATCTTTTATGCTTAGTTTTTTTTGTGGTTATTAAATCTGTATGCTTAGCAGCTCCACAATTTTGTTTTCTTTGAAAGAGGGGAGATAAGACCAGAGTGTATTCATTGGTGCATTGGCAGGAAAGCGGAACTGAACATGAACTGTCCGTCAAAAATCTAAACCTCCACTGCTTGAACATAGTGTATTTGATGTCATTCACGTGTGGTTCTACGTTAAGACCTGATTTTGGATTGACTTATATGAATTTGCGCAGCAATAAAGAAATTGGAGAATCTTTTTCCGAGAAAGCTGTTAAGAATAGATACCATCTCAGATATCATCTCAAGAACTGAGAATGCTCCTAACCTGGCATCAATCCAGTAGACTCGATTCTCAAGATAATCTAGGGTCAGTCCATTAGGCCAGCCACCGTTAACTCGCGTCACATTGAAGATAATTTTGCGTTTCAGACCGGCCATGGTGGAGCGTTCAATGCGGGGGTTGGCAGCATCCCAGTCAGTCCAGAACATCAAGCTATGTGAGGTCAAAACAGAACAAAAAAAATAAAAGTGACATTCTTACAATTCCTAGTGCACACAAACACACATTAAACGTCCATAATGACTTTGACAACATGACATTATAAGAATCTACATGTGATTATGTGACAACCAGATACAACAAAATCATTTGGTCAATTAAGAGAGTGTAGTTTTTAACCATTTTTGGATTAATCCTTTTGTTTTGGTGGAGACTCTTTGCTTTCAATAATTTTAATAAATCCTTTACCAGTTGGTGGCCTCACAAAAATGAGACAAGATTAGGACATTATTTAAAGCCAGCCAGCCAGCCAGCCAGCCAGCCAGCCAGCCAGCCGGTCACTCGGGGAGTCAGTCAGCCAGTCAATCCAAAGAAGGTTGGCCCTTCTGGTCCAGCAAAACTGAAGAACACCAGAAAGAAAATCTCAACTCACCCTACTCTAGGATCCAGGGTTATCGCTCTAGGATTGGCCATCTGACCAGCTACCACGGTAGTCCGGAAACTCCCATTCAGCTTAGAGACTTCAATCTGATCCAGCTGGCTCTCCACCCAGTACAGATTGCTACCAACCCAGTCTACGGCTAGGCCTTCAGCCGTCGCCAAACCGGCACTCACGACCTCTTCAATGTTCCTCAGTCCTTTAAACATAAAAGGGATTGAGGAAAATTAATTCTCTACCTTTTGGTAAGGGAAGAATGCAAAATTAAATAAGGGGTAACGTAAGGTTTCCCCGGAGGTACCCTTTAAACCCTGTTACACCTTGTAAGGTAAACCTAGAGTTATTGTCTGTTTAATTTGGCATTTTTCCCTAAGCTCACCAAAATCTTACTACATTCAAATATTAAAATGTTTTGACTCGGTTAATTAATTTCTTGATAGTTTTTCTTACCAGCATTATGAGAGTCAACATCCATCCATCCACGATAGATCTTATCGTCCACAATATCCGTCCAATACACCTCACTAGTATTGTAATTGAAGTCTAGAGCGATGGTGTTGCGAAGGTTGAAGACCAGAACATTATAGTCCTTAGTGTGTAGGTTGATGCGCCGTAGCTGGTTGCGGTTGGAGAAGATAAGGTAAGGAATGGCCGGGTCTGTGGAACGGCATGAGGTACCGTCTTCCAATCGAGCGTACCCCTCATAGCAGTGACAGGTGTAGTACCCCTTGTGGTTGATGCAGCGCTGGCTACAGCGCCCTCGCACTGAGCACATGCGCGTGTCTGCCTCGCATTGGTAAGGATCGTGTAGTAAGAGGGAGCCCTCTGGGCACAGACAGACGCGACCGTTGGGCGAGTTCTGGCATTGGTGGCTGCAGTTGGAGTACGTGCCAGGGAAGGGTTTGGTTTGACACCAGCGATTCTCGCATTCCCCTCCTTCATCCTCGCCGTGGACGCATTGACGCTGGCCATCACAGAGGTTGGAGAGAGGGATGCAGAGGGTGTGGTTGGGGCATTGCCAGAAACCATGCGGGCAAGACTCGGTTACTACAAAAAATTCACATAAAACGACAAATCAATATCAGAAACTGTGTCATAATGAACCATTCAAAGATATTCAGAATTAAGCCAACTCAACAGAATGCCATAAGACTGCACTCACATTTATCCCCAACAAATCAAAATACAAACTGAAGAAAATGTCTTCAATATCTTACAACAAAAGGAACAACAGAGAAACATCAGGAAAATAAGTTTACTCAAAAACAGCAACAAAAGAGAGTAAAGTGAAATTTTAAGCCAAAAATTACTAGGGAAAAATTAGGTTTTGCAACAAGCAACAAATAAGTTTTCTATGACAAAATGTGACCACGGTTTCATCCCTTTTTGACAAGATTCTGGAGAACTGTTCAATTTATGAGTATCTCCTCCTTTATTGGATAAAACGATTCAAAGATACTGCCTAAAGGAAAAGATCCACAGAGTACGCAAACAATTTGGGCTTAAACTTACAGCAGTTGAGTTCGTCAGACTGATCAGCACAATCCTGATTTCCGTCACATTTCCACCAGATAGGGATGCATTTACTGTCATTCTTACAACGGAAGTGAGTGTCTAGTTTACAGGTTGTTTGATCAGCTGTAATAAGGAGGTCAGAGAGGTTGAGAAAAGGAAAGAAAACATTAGCAGGTCTCAAGGAAAGTACCTTCATTACAGTGAATACTCACAATCTATGTTGATGATATGCAGAGACCATGATTTATTCATTGTTGTCATGTTTAACCAAATGTCAACTTCCTGGGGTTACAAGTGCACTGTTGCGATTCTTAAATGTGCGCCAACAGGTACCAATTAAAAATATTACCTTGCAAAACATCAAGACACTGGGAAAAGTTTCAATAAAAACAGCTGAAACAATCACAAGCTTGAAAATGCAAGGCTTTTTTATTTATTTTATTATTTTTTATTATTATTATGAACGAAATTATTGCAAGTGCTAACTTTTTCCAGCAGTGGCTGTAAATTTCAAAGTGCAGCATATTCCATGATCGATGTACAGGCATGACGGATTGTAGTAATAAATCCATTTTTACTTACCGCAATTGTCTTCATCGTTTCCGTTCCCGCAGTCGTCTTCACCATCGCAGACAGCCAGGTTTGATATGCAGAAGCCTGTTCCACAGCTGAACTGACCTTCTCGGCAAATACTGACCGGCTCCACAGCTGTGGTTAAACCAACACAGGTAGTGAGTATTTCCCTAAATATTTTGTGTACAATCTCATTGGACCGGAAGTTATTGTGGGGAGAATTTGTAAATGATCCGTTTTCTTTCCTTTAATTCAAATCGCCTGGAGGATTTTGGAGGATTGAGGATGATTAGGGTTCAATAAAATAATTGTCCATCTATTATAAGTGTTTCAGGGGGGGGGGAGAGAAAAAAGAAGCAATTACTTACTGCAGTTGCTCTCATCGCTAGCATCATCACAGTCTTCAAAGCCATTACACTGCAGATCCAAGTCAATACAAAGGCCTGACTGACACTGAAACTGTGTCTCATTCACAGCACAAGAGTAGGTGCAGTTACGTTCGTCTGAGTTATCACCGCAGTCATCACCTGAATACAACGGCACGAGAATGTGTAATCCATAAGCACTTGTATTACACAGTATTACATCAGGCTTCAAGTGGTAAAAATAAATCAGCATCTTGTGTGCTTTCATAAAAGTACCCGGATGAGGATAATTTTTGATAATGTCTTCATCCGGGCATTTGAACAAATTTCACTGGTTCCCGCACAATCAAGAGCCGTAGAAACTGACAGTTGTCAACCAGTTAAACACTGTAGTGCACAGTAGTGCACAGTACCGTCGCACAGGGACACAGCGTGAAGCAGATCGAACGGCACTTTTGTCAACAACCACATTGGCAGCTTTAAGTGGTGCAAAACTTGCTTTGGTAAGCAAAAGTGAAGAATGCTTGACGAAATTTGAGAAAAAAGACAGTGTCCTTCAATGCCTTTCTTGCAGATCAAGTCAGCCAGATATAAATGATAATAATATTGGACGTCTCTTTTCGGGGATACAAGAATATATTGCACTCACTATAACAATATTGCACTTTTTCATAAGATGAATATTGTACTTGTCTTTGACTCATGCAATATTGTTAGAGATCGTGCAATATATTCTCGTGTCCCCCTCAAAGCCATCCAAAATTATATACATTGTATCACATTGTATTTATACCCTGATGCATCCATAAATCCAAACAGTGCTGTGATGGTTTAGGCTGGTATAGAGTAATACTGCACTGAAACAAATGGGCTAAGTAAACAATACAAATGACACACTAATTCTTAAGGGCCTCTATTCAGGATCCAATTTGATCAAAGCTGCAAAATGAAGAAACTACGTGTAAGCAAAAAATGGATGAAAACAACTTAGCAGCACAATTTTGCTTACAACAAATTTATGCTATTTCTTTGCAACTTCTCTATGTATGAATTCAATCCTGGCCAGGTTTTTTTTACTGAACAAAGATATTTCAACTGGATTTCAATCATCTCGGCTCATGTTTAAAGCAGTTGCTAAGATGAGATCACCACAAACCAAAAGTCAGCTGAGAAGTAGTCACAATCAAGTAAACCACTTACTTTGGTCACACCTGAAAAACGGCACAACACAGCGTCCATTGTCGCACTGGAAATCAAACGGGCCACAGGTGTGTGCAGCTGAATCCAGACAAAAAAAAGAATACACACAAAAATCATCAAAAGTTATCCTGACAAGAGCAAGTTGTTTTTTTCCTTTGTTGCTGTGGCAAGAAGTGGATGAAATTTTCGACTATCTCAAATGAAACCTTTTTTATAATGTTATACCAGAATAACTACCTGTTTTATTTTAAATATATTGGCAACATAAATGTTTTTTTTTTTTTTTTTTTACACAATGTAGATGTTTTCTGGCAATCAACGTCTTTAGAGAATGTGAGAGAGTCACAACTTACGACAGTCCAGCTCATCACTGTTGTCACCGCAATCATCCTCAGTGTCACATTTCCACAATTCCAGGATACAACGTCGGTTGGCACAGAGAAATTGGTGATCATGACATGTATGCTCTGTAGCGAGTGCAAAAAAAACAAAGGAAAATGAATAACTGTAAAGAGATTGAGGGCCAATCTCCTGGCGCTGCCAAGTACAGAAATAGACTAAGTATACAAAAAGATTTGATTAGCATAAACAGGGAAGCAGTCAAAATGCCATGGAATACATATTACTTTTAACTGGTTCTCAGCTGACTCCTGCTAAGCACAGATGTTCCCTCAGCACTATTTTATGCTTCATGAAATTGGGCCCAATTGGAAACTGGGCCCAATTGGAAATTAGTGTATACACGCAGTGCAGAGTACAACAGTTTGAAGGAGTTGGCATCATATGACCGCAAACATCCAACATCCAACAAGTGTGAATTGGTCTACTGCACTGTACTGATAAAAATATACTGACACAAACCTTTTTCATGGGGACCCGAGGTTGCATGATGAATTTTCCCACATATATTACCATTTGATATAACTCTTTAGAGCTTAATTCGGGTACCAAACTCATTAAACTGAGTTTTTAATTCCATGAGAAACGGTACTGACCACTGCACGTTTCAGGGGACTCGTCACTGCGATAACCATCAGCGCAATCATCGTCTCCATCGCACAGCCATCGACTGATGACGCATTTGTTGTTTCGGCATGTAAATTCATCCTCGTTACATGTTGAATTACCTGTACAACAGTAAACAAGAAAACAATGACTAACAAACAAATGGGTATACAGGATCGACGCAATTTCAGAATTTGAGCAAAATCCAACATTTTTAACTTGAAAAATATGTACTAAGATTTGGCTAGCCGGGAAAAATTGTCCATCAATTTTTTTATTATGTAGTGCTTGCTTTCACTTTGTTAATAATGTATGATGTGTTAGTCTTGAAAATACCAATAAATAAACACAAGTTATAAATGTTATGGTTTTATGAGATATTATTTTATGATTTATAAGCAGTGGCGGCGAGTGTTGGCACTCCTTTTTGCATAAAATAAAAGAGAGAAAACCTACTGCATTCCATTGTTTCATCGCTATTGTCACCGCAATCATTGTCACCATCGCATAGCCAGACTCGGTCCACACAACGACCGTTCCGACACTGGTACTCATCCCCACATAGGTCAGGCTGCTCATAATCTTGGTCAACTGTCAACACAAAAAAATTTGGAAAATCTATGAAATCTTTCACTTTATTCTGAAACTGTAATTTCCTTCCACATCTTCTACCAAGGGGTCCCACTGGAAAGACGTTGAGAGGCTTTCGTGGGCTATCGCGGCCAATTGCCAAATAATTACAAACAAACAAACAAACAAACGGACTCATCACGAAAAGAACCACAAAGATACCAGAAAAGGGCTCACAAAATACAATCAATATTCACAAGATATGCGTTTCTTAAAGACACTAGTCAAACACCGAACTGGAAACTTACTTTGCAGTCACGAAAAAAACATGGTTAATGACAAAACACCCACTTTTATCAAGCAATCAGGGAAAATACAATGTACTTGAAGGCTTTATAAGAGGACAACACAGTTAACATCTTGAACATCTTGAACTTAAGGAGACAGGAGAACTGACCTAGACAGGTTGTCCCATCTGAGTCCAGTTTATATGTTTCTTGGCAGGCACATTGTCGATTGCCTTCAGGTACTGGCAAGCACAGCTCCTGACATCCACCATTGTTATCAGAACAAGCGTTGGTACCTGTCAAGTAAGCAAAGGAAACTAAGGAACTCCCCACACTTATGATCATCATTACAACGCTTTGCATGTAGCATGAAGGTCTCTACTTGCATACCGGTACCAAAGTTCAGAAAAATTTGTCATAGTATTTTGTGATCAGTGATGCGGAGCCACTGCAACCCCAACCCCATCCCCCGCCCTGACGCCACCCCGACCCCCAACACCCCCATCCCACCCATACCCCAACCCCCACCCTGACGCCACACCGACCCCCAACCCATCCCCACCCCACCCACAACCCTAACCCTTGGCCTGACACCACTCCTACCCACAACCCATCCCCAACCCACAACCCCAGCCCCGACGCCACCCTGACCCCCAACCCATCTCACCCCACCCACAACCCCTGCACTGATGCCACCCCAAGCAATCTCCACCCCACCCCCAACCCCAAGCAATCCCCACCCCACCCACAACCCCAAGCAATCCCCACCCCACCCAGACCCCAACCCCTGCACTGACGCCACCCCGACCCCCAACCCATCCCACCCACAACCCATCCCCAACTCTGACCCTTGCTTTGTGCCATATACCAGCAAACCAATGTGTGCCCAACTAACCTGTTTGTCGTTCAGGGTCGTACACTCTCAACTCAAATAGTACGCCACCACTGCGCAGTTTGACTGAATCACTGTGACCCTGTAGATCATGCCGGTAGACCTCTCCCCTAGTGTAGTCTGTCCAGAAGACGATATCTCCGTAGTAATCCACACCAAACGGGTGCAGTATGCTAGTACTCATCACCAACCTCTGAAAACGATTTAGTTTTTTTTCAAATCAGATGGTCAAAAATTGACCATTACAGTTTTAGCATTATGCCCCATCACCCACCACCTTTGATTTGTCTACATTTCTGTGTATAGAAAATTCCACTCATTCATGGATGGAAGCATTGAATATTAATGATAATTTAACACCCTTTGTCCATTTGAGCTAAATACATTTATCTTTACTAAAATGAAAGTCTCATTTAGCCAACCAAATTTCATAAAAAATCGTTAATTTCATTTTCATGATCAGAAGCCCCCCTCCCCGGACTGTAAGATGGTGCAACCCCAGCCCCTTTTAAGATTAACCATCCCTGATAGATGAACACTGACCATTATATTAGTCCGATTCTGCAATTCGACGGCCATGATCCAATCATGGAAGGCATCACACCAGTACAGCTTGCCTTTCTCCTTGTCCAAACTCAGACCGTTTGGCCAGAGAAGGTCATTGGATATGAATGTCTCCCGATTGGACCCGTCCATGTGAGCACGCTCTATCTTCGCTAGGTGGCTATCCTCAATGCCTTCGGCCCAGTCCGAAAAGTACAGGTACCTGGGCAATCAGACACAAGGAAAAGCATTCTGGGTTTGAATATGTGAAATTCAAGTTAGTAGGCAAGTGGATGACATGTGATTGACTTGTGGATGACATGTGATTGACTTGTGGATGACATGTGATTAAATTGTGGATGACTTGTAATTGACTTGTGGATGAAATGTGATTGATTTGTGGATGACATGTGATTGACTTGTGGATGACATGTGATTGACTTGTGATTGACTTGTGGATGACTTGTGATTGACTTGTGGATGACATGTGATTGACTTGTGGATGACATGTCATTGACTTGTGGATGACATGTGATTGACTTGTGAATGACATGTGATTAACTTATGGATGACTTGTTATTGACATGTGGATGAAATGTGATTGACTTGTGGATGACATGTGATTTGACTTGTGATGGACTTGGGACTGACTTGTGATGGACTCGTGATGTGACTTGTGATTTTACTTGTGGCCGACTTGTGATTGACTTGTACTGCACTTGGCTACAAGTCTGCCCCATCACGTCCCCACAGTCGAGTGCCAAAGTACCTACCCGTCTGTGGGGTCCAGCACAATGGCCCTGAGGTGTGTCAAGTTGCCTTCGATGATAGTCTTGCGGAGTGAGCCATTCAGACGAGCGACGCTGACAGTCTTCAAGTCATCGTCGGTCCAGTACAGATTCTTGCTGATCCAGTCCACAGCAATTCCCTCACAGTTACTCACTCCTATTCAAAATCAACAGTTGCTGAACACTTATCATCTATTGCATGACATAACAATTTATCATAACCGTCCCAGTTACTTGAAAATCTCAAGGTTTTGAAGGATTTTGCAGAATTCCTAAAAAGTAGAGCCCATCCACTTTTACTCTACATGGGGACTTGATGGTTCTTAGAAATTCAAGTATAAAGTATGGGTTATTGAATTTCTACCCCTTTCGAAAGATTTGGCACAGTTTTAAGCCAAACAAATTATAAAAGAATTAGAATTACAAGATATTGTAAAAATGAGACGATGCAAAAGAAAAGTCAACTACAATTTATACCTCAGGTATAAATGATCCATCTTGAAGATGAGTGGAAAAAATTTAAATCTCAAGGAGCAACAACTGACGCTTTTATTTTAAATATTCCGACAACAGACTTTACTTACTGTCTTCAATCAACCTTTCAGCACCCGTGCCGTCGATCTTCTGACGTCCAATCACATAGCTATTAGAATCAGCGTAGTAGATGTATTCCTCAGCCGCATAGTAGTCCACAGCCCGAGGACTGTTCAGGTTAATGATTGGAATCATCACCTCACGATTGTCCGGGACACGGTCCATCGGTATCCCGTGAATGGAACCGGGGAAGCTCTGGCCGTAGATCAGAAACTTGGAGTTGTCACTGTTCTCTGAGATAAGGAAACAAAAGAAATATTATTAATTAAACAAAGTAATTATTTTGTAACTTGAGGTATCTAGAAACAACAGAATATATCGAAATTAGACAAAAAAAGTGTATTCGTATCTTTAAGAACCTAGAAACAACAGAACACTTGACAAGAAGACAAAACTTTTTGTTTGCGATTTCAAGTAACCAGGAATATTTGGTACATTGAGGCTCACCTCCCACTTCAGACCTAAGCAAAACTGTAAAAACTTAAAATTTACCGATTTTACAGTAAACTTGTAAGTAGTTTTATTGAATGGTCTGCTTGTCATGCAGCTTATTCAGATTAACAGGGTTCATCGAGCAGTTGAATTCAGCACCATTATCACAGGAATGTCTTGCACAAGAATTGAATCCACTAGCTGTTACCATTCCAGCTGGTAGACATTGACTTACCGATGCACTGGGTGTTATTTTGTAAGATGAAGCCCTGCTGGCATCGGCACTGCCGTTCGCTGCCGTCTTTGCCTGATATCAAGCAAATGTGATTGCAGCCTCCGTTGTTGGTGCGGCAGGGATGGGCTCCAACTAAGAACCAAAAGAAAAACGATGTGAAACAGAGAAACTTAACAGGAACAAATATGCCATATTTGTTCAGTTGCGATGGACCACGCACCACAGTGTCCGAGACACGTTCTTACTGAGCCGAATGCAGCTACGCGATTTTGCGCACTGATCCGATGAATTATAGAGGGCTCGCGCCTGTGTGTTGTGTCAACGCTTGCGCACTTCGCCGTATAAAAAAACCAACTACTAACGGAAATTCCTAACAGTGCGTCTTAAGACGCACTGTCTTAAGACGCACCGTTGGAAAGGCCTTCTTTCGTTGATTTCTTCAAAATGACAGCATGCCAGAAAGAATAATGTCACAGGGAGTTTAGTCCCCTTGCTATCTTTCAACCAAGTATGTTTTTCAACAATAATTACGTCAGTCACTTTTTGGATAGCTGCAAATGATGGACTGTAGCTTTAGGGACAATATACTGATCTATCAAGCCCAACCCACATAGATGCATGCATGTCAGCACTAGTCAGACATTAGGTTGCATCACTTACAGCTGTGACTGTCCAATCATCATGGGGGAGGGGGTCATGTGACTCACCCAGTGGCTGTAGCGACTCATGATGGACTCTGATAGCGCCAGCCCCGTGGCTGATGCCATCACTTCTAAGCACGGAGGTGCTACCAGTAAACTTGTGGATCCTTGTGATAGACGGCTGTGGCAACCAGCTTGTGAAGTACAGGTAGTTACCAAATACGGAGATGCCATATCCAAACAGGACCTAACAAGAGCGGGAAGACGATTGAAATCGTTCTTTAAAAAAAATGTAAGAAATACTAAAACTGCAAGAAATACTGAAGAAAATGGCAACAAAACTGGCTAGAAGATTCCTACGTTAGAGGTCATGGGTTCGATTCCCCCTTGACTAGCATGTGATTTGGTCTCCTCATATACCATTTGGAAAACACATCTGGTAATGATAATGGTACAGCACGAAAGAGTTAACCTCAAACAAATTCGATCAGCGACCATTGGTTAACTTCTGAAATTACTTATGCCTGCACAATAATAGTAGTGCGCACTCTACATGTAGTCGAATGGCTCTCAAAACAACATCACAGAACTGTTTTACACAAAACTTCTTTCTGCAAATGTTCATGCCCGTCACGTGACTGCTACTTTTCTCAGAGACTGGGAATAAATCGGTGAACTACGACAAACAAAATTTATCAAGAAATAAAGCTAATTACATTTGAGCCTCTTGCTACAGTGCGGCGGTTCGTCCCTTCATAATCGCTGCTCTCAATCAGCTGTAGTCCCGAGTCTGCCCAGTAGATTCTCTGAGCAACCAGATCAGCAGTGATGCAGTGCGGAGTGGAGATCTTAATGGGTACAATGGTATTGACGTCCGTACCGTCCATGTTGGCACGCTTGACAGTAGGAGAGCTACCTCGATCGGTCAGAAACATCAGCCTGGTACAGAGAATGATTGGCAGGATTGGGGGACAAGCCAGAAAGCAATTAACATTTCAATTAGCTGCTGGGAAGACAATAGAAAGCTCCTTGGATCTGCTAGTGCGGTATTATAATTGTTGCAAGCATTTTTCAACGTGACATAGCAAAGGATAGTTCCAATTCTCCTTACCCTTTGTTTGGATCCAGTGCTATCCCCAAAGGCTGATCTAGACCGGTCTCAATGATTGGAATGAATTTATTGATCTCGCTGTTGCTGACGAGAACTTGATCTGCCACGTCGTCCACAAAGTAGAAGTTACCTGTCACCCAGTCAATGGCAAACTGCTGGATGTCTGGTGAAGGAAAGGGAAGCCAACAGGTGGTCACAAGTCATCACAAGTCATCACAAGTCAATCACAAGTCAATCACAAGTCATCACAAGTCATCACAAGTCAACACATGTCATCACAAGTCATCACAAGTCATCACAAGTCAATCACAAGTCATCACAAGTCAACACATGTCATCACAAGTCATCACAAGTCATCACAAGTCATCACAAGTCATCACAAGTCATCACATGTCATCACAAGTCATCACAAGTCATCACAAGTCATCACAAATCATCACAAGTCATCACAAGTCATCACAAGTCATCACAAGTCATCACAAGTCATTAAATGTCAATCGTTAGTCATTACAAGTCATCCAGTCCCAAGTAATCTCATAAAATATGCAAATGAATAGGGACAAAGGCATTCCTGTTGTGGGACAATTTTCTATTACACAATCCAAAGGGATTTGACATTATAATTAGGAAGACATAAATTGCATTATGAAAAAAAAGTCTGATACAATTTTCTTTAAACTTGAAAATAAAATAACGACCAAGTTGAAACTGGACCATTTTCCCCCACAAGGAATAATCCATAGAGAATACCACCTTATATTCAACACTTTAATATGAGAAACCTAAACAAAAGAAACATGTTAAAGTGGGTTATTTTATGAAAAAACCCAAAATGGCCTCCTTGCCTTCAAGCATGCTGTGGTACTTACGACTGACACTGAAAATGACGTCCACTTTTCTGAGGTCGCCCAATGTGCTGGAGTTTGCACATTTCATTTCATCGTTGGCTGCAGCAAAATTTATCCAGCAAACCTATAAAAAATAAGATACAACAAAATAAGCATGAACAAGACATGTGGCTTTTTCTCCTTCCATCACACTTTTGTGCATGTACACTGAAAGTATAAAATAGCACCCAATTGTTTTAATAAAAGCCTGTGATTTTTTTATTAAAAAAATCATAATATGCTGATGAGAAAGTTTTAAATATTGTGACCAGCTCCACAAAAAAGGGGCAAAAACATGGTTGGAAAGCCCACAATGTAAGGTTTCACTTGGTATATAATAGAGCTCCATAGCCCCTCCCGTTCTTGAGACATGACTGTTTGCCTATTAATTGCTTCCTTGGAGTTCAAATTACACAACTGAGAAAACAGGCTTTGAAATAGCTGGCTTTGTTGTAGAACAACAGAATGATGCACACACAATGGTTGTTCCATTTTGCTCATCAAAATCAACATTTCTGTGAATGAAACCTGAAACTGTAGGCATTAAAGATGTCAATCATGACAAAAAAATGAAAATCAAATTTTTGACGAAATTATCACCCTCTCAATGTTGAGCGGGCCATTGCTCAATAATGCTCAGCACAACTTAATACCCTTTTTGGCGGAGCCGGTCACAATTTACCTTTTCTTTTCGGATGTCATAATCCAAGGCCATGGCACCAAGAGCAGGCATACTGGATATTCCCTCCAGATCAGCGCCCTTCAAGTTCAGCTTGAGAATGTTGCGGGTATTGGCCACAAAGAGTTGAGCAGGGTCTTCTACAAAATACCAGAAAACAAAACAGCGATTACATCTTTTTATAATGGCTCTTCAATGTTGAGTCCACCACAAGTCTGGTCAAAAGTACATCATAACTAGAGAAGGTTATAGAGAAGATATAGAATTATAGAGAAGGTTCTTTTGGTTGGTTCTTACGATTTGACGGGCTGCAACTCCTCCGATCTTTCCCAAGTTGGTATCCCGTCTGACACGTACAGGTGTGGCCTCCTTCTGTGTTGGTGCAGGTCTGGTCACAGCCATGAAGACTGTAATCACTGCACTCGTCGATATCTGAAAGACAAAGTAAGGTTTGCGTTAGCTGTAACTGCTTATAACCCTTGAGCATTTTTGCCGAAACCTTAAGGCCAGTTCATACCGGTACTTCACGGGAGTGCAAATGTAAGGGGAATATTACGTCATGAAACATATGCCGTGAAATTCACTGGAGTGGAAAGGTGTTCAACTTTTGCAAATTTGCAGCTCAAATACTTTCCATGACATGACAAATTTGCATTCACGTTCGCTTTTGCACCTAATAAAAACTGGCCTTTCCAACTGTTTGCAAATCTCCATCTGTATTCCAAGAGTGATGCATAAACAAAATCAGTATGCCCCAATGTCGAACCCCTCTGATGCAAGCTGTAGCTATAGTACTCTCACAATGAATTTAGAAATCACAATGTGTAATGTCCATTCTATACATTTTCACTTTGTTCAAAAAGCATGTACACTCATTCAAAATGTCCGTGTCCAGAATGTTTCCGAAGTATTCTTCACATGTCCTCCATGCACACGTACCCCGTCACTCGGTTACAAAGACAGAGTTGGGGGGACTAGCATTGCCACCATATGCTTGTCATTCACATGTGAAGGCCATAGATTTTGAACCAATACACGCAAGCAATGTATCATGCCCACAGCACTCTCTTCTAAGTGATCACAAAACACAGCCTATTGTAAATGCAAGGAGTCTATAGCTCTAGGATCTCTCCATTTGTCGTAACTTTGAGCACAGCATCTTACCACTACATGTTCCATTGACATCTTGATAGCCTTCTTTACAGTAGCACGATGCACCCAATATTGTCTCCACACAGCGATACTCACAAGTTCTCAGGGCGCATTTCCTGGCATTTGCTATGAACAAAATTAATAGTGAACATCAATCTGGTGATTTCACACAGATGAATGGTTAAGTTTTTGCTCATGGAAAACAAACAGTCACTTTTTAGTTATTGCCTCCAAACGTTCTTACTTTTAAAACCTATCCCTGCATTATTTGGTTTTACAAATGCTACAGAAAGGCACCTGGGATCATGGTTTAGGTACAGGTTGTTGGCCAATGATCAGAAGGTTTGACTCCATGAGATATGTCCTTGGGCAAGGCACTTTATCCTCGTTTGCCTCTCTCCATCACCGATAACAAATAGGTATCATTCTTTGCTGAGAAGAAACTTTGAATGGGTTAAAATCTGAAGGGCGAAGTGACAGGGAGTTCATCTATGGTGCCAGAACTGTTGAGATTTACAACACAAAACCATTTTGAGCCAGGCTCCTAAGATCAGGATGCAAACTACTCCTGAACCAAAACCTGGGGACAGAACCGTGGTTTGAAAAAAAATGAACAGGGGCAAAGGTTTCCTAATAACCAAGGTTGCAGACGAAGCCTAGATTTGGAAAACTGCTTACAAAGAAAGGATAGGATACCTGGTAAGCAAAGAGCGCCCTCATCGGTACCTCCAGGGCAGTCTGGGACCCTGTTACAGACTTTTGTTGCACTGATACAGAAATCGGCCCCTGGGCACCGGACCTGGTTAGGGGGACATTGAAACTCCTTGTCAGCCGTTGAACAAGATACCCCACCTGTGAACCATTCAAATCAAAATTAAGAAATCATGTCATTTACACTAAGATAAAATTCTATGCTAAGTAGGTTTATTATCAGGGATGTACTAAGCAGTCAAGTCCATCACAAGTCTAGTCACAAGTAATTCACAAGGCCATTCACACACACGCACACACAAATGGATGGACAATAACAAAGGGATGCTTTTATCAAAGCTCATTTGAATAGCTTGTGAGTTGAATTGGGACTGGAGGACTTGTGATGGACTTGCAGGGACTTGTGATGGTCTCCACTTTTTTCTGTTTACTATCCTTAGCAAGTTTCTGTGCCCTGAACATTTTCATACCTTGTATAATTATTTCTGTACTCTGCAAACTTCACAACTTTCTTAATTGACCTTAGTAATTTAGTACTAACTTTTGTGTCTTGGTGAACTTATTTTCATATCCTTATCAGATGTCTGTGTTTCGTATCTCCCTGACTTTACCCCTGTGAATTGATTGAGCCAGGCATGCAACTTGGAAGATACAAAAAATGAGGAAACCATAATCCTTACAAGACTTGTACAGTGTTTTACAATTCTTAATGGCATAGTGTGAAGTGACAAAAGAGGAAATCAGCTGATCCGAGGAAAAGCCGCATGCCTGTATGTAGATCCTCTTACCTGGCCGATTGACATTTTCATCGGAGTTGTCTCCGCAATCATTAGTATCATCACACACCCAACTAATGGGTATGCACATAGTACTGTTTTGACATCGGAACTTGTTGGATGGACATCTTATGTCACCTGATGAGACAAAAAAGAACATTTCAAATAAAACTTCTGTTTCACAGTTTGTTGCTGTGTTCAGATTTGTATGACTTTAAGTTTTGCATGGCGGATGACATAAAATAGACAACATTGTGGGTAGCACCATGTGGAAAGAAATCTCTTCTTGGAAGAAGTGTGGTTCTGAAAAGAACCGGTTGGTTGAGTGTAGAACTTTTTGTTTTTTAAATTTGTCACTTTGTGATACGGCGCCGATGTCTTGCAATGGATGTCAAATGGAGTTTTTACAGAATTAAAAAAAAACAATCAAGACATTTTTAGTTATGTTGGAGACCGACAAATGTATGAGTCATGGATGAGTGTGTCTTACCACAATCTTGTTCATCACTGAAGTCTCGGCAGTCTGGGTCCGCATCACATCGCCATGACGCCGGGATGCACTGGAAGCCATCTCTGCAGGCAAACTGAATGGCAACGAGACATCTCACTGTGAAACAGAGAAGAGAATTCAACAAACACAAAATAAACAATTTGTATTCATTGCAAGTCTTGCAGTTTGAAATCATTTTTGCGATGTTTGTATGTTTTAGACGTCTCACTGAGCATGAGACAACCTGAACACTGACCTTTTTCCAGTTTTAACACACACTATTTGTTAATTTGTATTTATGTTGTTTTTCAAACATATCTTGAACTAGAAATCTGAATTTCGATTCATTACTTTGTGGAGGAGAGGGATCTATTTCCCCATAAGAAAATATCAATGTTAACTTTTCAGGTATGGTACATACAACCGCTTATTGGTTTGTCATTGCACAACAAACCTGAGACACTTTATCTTATCATAAAAATCTTAGCAATTTTGAAAAAAGTCTGAATATTAGATGAAAGGTCTGAAAGATACATTTCTTGACACTGTTCTGATGTCTTGCTCTCAGATTAAAAGGTCTGATTTCGGACAAAAGTCTGAAAAAAATATGTCTGAATTCAGTATGTTACAATGTATGTGAGCTGTAACCATTTCTTTTGTGTGTTTTTTTGTAATCTATAAAACTTTTACTATCACTTCTTTCTCCTATCACTGTAAAAACTATCAAGCAGCTTTCTCTGTATGCTGGTGGGTGTGTTAAACATACATGTACATCTGAAACTTCAAAACATGTTGATGTGACTTGGTTTAACGTCAAAATATATTTTTAGAGGGGGAACTTTGAAAATAAAAGTTGATAGTGTTCCCAAAACATACACAAAACCGCAGCCTTATCATTTATACATATACACACCCTTCACTTCACTATGTTTTGCTGGTACTAGATAATGGGTTTATATGTGGGAGTGTGTGTTTTATTTGACTAAAGTTGGCAAATGTGTATACACTGTACACAGGGAGTTAACGAGCGGCCAATCAATCATTTTTAATCTGACAATTTCATCCAAGATAACAAGGCATCATTTACTGTAATAGCTTGATTAGTTAACCCTCACCCCTCGGGCACTCTAACAGACATGTACATGTGCAATGAATTGTCCCTTTATCCCCTAACCAATTTTTCTTCATCATCACGAATCCATCATTTCTGCATTGACTGCCGAATCTCTCAAAGTCCCCTTGCTCATGAGTGTGGGATTTTATTAGATGATGGACAGAATTTTATCAAATAATAATCTTTATTAAAATCGAGCTTCATGTACATCTGGAGTTGGCTTTTGGCATGTATGGATAATGAACAATACATTGAGCAACCAGTAGAATTTCAATTTATGATTTTTTTCTCTGAAATTGTCGATTTGTTAAAAGTAGGGCAACGTAATTACCATCCGACGCCAACAATGATGAGGATCCATAATTTATTCCATTTCACAACAGGAAAACTGTCTCATCCGGTTCGCAATGCCCCGGGGCAAGATTCACGCATGCACGCACGGCACGAGCACCGGCTCATGACGACGATTGATGGTTAGGACTCGAGTCTGCCCCATCGCTAGCATCCTGGGGGTTCCAAGAAGATGGAAGTGGGGGCTGGGAAGATGGAGGATGACTCACAGAGTCAATTTATGCAATTGATGAGCATTGTATATGGCGGGTTTGTACATTTGCTTAAGTTAGCGTGATAATTTAACGCGGTCTGTCAATAATTACGCTTCATGAGGACTTAATCTTATGCCCCCTGTGCAAGAAGTGTGCAGGAGGAACAAACATTGGAAGGATGACGGTATGCCCTTGGGAAACCACTACAAATGCAAAACAGAGTGTCTGGTTAAGTACCATGTGGCAACAATTTTACAAATGTTTAATGTTGCAATAAGGTTTCTCCTTTTTTATTCCATTTCAATTCAAATGACCAGTTAACCAAACGCTTTCCATTTCATTTGCAAACTCTGATGTTGATTTTTGAAGTCTATTTACATGTAATTCTGGCTTGAGTTACAAAACTTTTGATATTGCAACACGGTTCAAAACCTCTAATCACAAGAAAAGAACGTCTGACGACCCGACCGCCAAAAAAAAAGACCTGTACATGGCCCATTGTTCTGTTGATTGAACAGTGCATAGTACCAGGTACCGGGTGTCTAACCTTGAGTTGCGCTCACAAAAGACAAGAGAAGCAAGGCAAAGGGGTAAACGCGTTCAGGCGGAGTGTATCACTATTCACCATTCACAACTATTGACGAATTGTTCATTCATGGATGATGCCTATAGTGGGATAAATACCAAGTTATTGGACGTGTGGCCTCGATAACTTGAATATAAGCATTTCACTATTTCTATACATGTGCATTCCATCAATGACGATACTGTTGACTGGTACTTTTTGGAACTCTTGACAATTTGAACACGTTTTTAAAATTTATTGTAGAAAATATAATAACTGCAATAATGTTAAAAAATATGACAACACTGCCTTCAACAGAAATGAACTTGTATTGGTTTTAAAGAATTTTGGCTTGTGTATACATGTGTATGTGTATGCCTGTACCGTACATGTACCATTATACTGCGCCTTAACATCAGTTCAGCAACACTGAGCCTTTACATTAAGGTCACAAGATTATATAAACACAATTTCTAGTGTATGCATTATGGCCACAAGGACATTCTAACAAAAAACGATTGTGTAACTGAAAAGTTTCCAGCTTAGAACAGACTGTTTGGACAGAAAACTTCCCACCATGAACAAAAGCTATTATGGCTCCTTTATTACAGACTACTTAGTTATTTAACTGGGATGAGAGGATTCAGGGAAAGGCCCTTTTCAAAAATCTCTTCATACAGTACTCAGTTCATGCAGTTCAGCCGCCTACACAACTCATGAATAAGACATTCATCCTTCTTGGTGCACTGCTCAGGTACCGGTACATACTCTTTCAGAATGACCAAAACCTCTTTCTCTTCTTTTCAGAATGCCTCCATTCATCCCTTCCTAATTTACTGGATCACCAAATCCAGTACTTATTTCAGAAAAATTCCTGGGAGGATCAGCGCATGCCGTGCTATTGTATCCATTTTAGATGCCTGGGTTCTTATACCCCCTCCTCAGAGTAAAATAGGGAGCTAGAAGCATTTGAGTATAATGATGGGGCCGGTGATTGTGTAACTCACAAAGTAAAGCTAGTATTTTGAAGATGAAAAGCTTCAAACCAGTAACAGCATTGACTTAAAGTAGTTTAGTTTTTCTATTTCCTTTTTGAAGAATTTCAAAAGCATAACTTCAAAAGACCATCATAAAGACCAAGTATACATTTTGGGAGCACTGTATTATCAAAATCTAAAAAGAACTTCTTTATTGTGTGCACAAATTATTTAAATACTTTCATCGCAACTGCCACTCTGCACTAAGTACACTGCACTCCGCAAAAACATACAACTCCGTTTATATGCCACATCAATACGGTAAATACAGTCCGTTGTAATTAAAGATACCAAGGTTTGGCCAAAAAAAGAAATCCAAACTCTGGGGAAAACAATTGAAGCAGTCCTCATTGACTCTCTGATTTATGAATTGCCAAAGGGCAGTGCCCTTTAAAATTTAACCCAGTTGCATAAATTATGCAGGAATAAGATGTGAGCGCACTGCTAAACCTGGAGAAATCTATTTAAGGTTACAACATGTTTTGGAACACAAGCGGTTCTTTTTTTTTCATGGCAGTGAAATGTTCAGACCGCCGTGTCATCCAAGCAGTCTTGCACCTTGAAGACATTCCTACGGCAGTACTGTGTAATTTCACCCGCACAATGAAACGTGATACATTCACCGAACTCGCAGCCAGCTTTTTAACGCTCCATCCTGGCCCAAATCAAATTGAAGGTTTGCACTTAGCACACATTGGAGCATTACATATCTCACAGGTCAGGTTCGACACTTCAATTTCCCATGGTCTGACAGTGGGCCATTTTAAAGGTCCGAGGAATAAATGAGAAAAATGATAAGATGACACGTGAAGCCGACAACTCAACTCATAGACACAGTCATATGCTGCACACATGTACATTATTTTATCTTCGATTCTCTCAACCCAGTCAAAATTATAGAAAACAGAACATTCTTGTTGTTTTTCTGTTATTTCCGCAGCTGTTTTGCAACCAATATGACTACATGCTTCCCACTTTACCCAATACTCACAATGAAAATTATTTCCAATTTCATTTCGATTTAATTTTTATTATCTGGCAAAAGAGGCACACTATGTAATCAAATATCTCTGATACTAGTACTCTTGTAATAAAAGTAAATACGTCAGACCAAATATATGAAAACGATAGGTTATGTGATACAGCGAAATCTCGTTAGTACAAACTCTGTTAATACAAAATTCTGGTTATAACAAACATAAAGCCCTAGTCCCGACTGTGCATTTATGTGCATAATGAATGGGACTGATGTTCCTCTTAATACAAAATTCAGATATAACAAACAATTTGGCTAGGTCCGAACGAGTTTGTATTAATGAGACTCGACTGTATTTATCTCATAAATTTCTCATATTCATCTATCAATAAATTAAGGCACACTTGGTCTGTCACTAAATAACTTGTGCAAAATAGTGACAGAAAAACCATTTTTTTTTGGTCATGACAGGCAATCGTCAACCAAATTTGCATTTTGTGCTGCACGTCAAAACCCTCCCTCTCTTGGTGGCAATTTCAGCTATACCATCACAGCAGTCAAGATCAACCCAGTGATTGTCTAAACAGTTAACAATTCCCTTGTTAATTGGAGCTCCATCTCTTTACATCATGGAGGTGTTTCCAACCTCGTGCTACATGTATCTGTAGTGATTAGTTTAATTGGTTAGACAATGTTGTCATTAGCACATCAATAAAACTATGATATGGATTGGATAATGGCAGACCACTGACACTGACAGGCAGAGAGTTAATGACCCATAAACATTGAGGACAATAATTACACCTAATACATGTAGTATGGGCAGGTACAGTAATCCAACATATTGAGTTTGTTGATTGACAAGGATTATGCAAATCTG